AGAGCTTTTGCTATTTTCATAGATAACTTATAAAGGTCATCTGAGGCCAGGTGTGTCCTCCTCAGAACCAGATCCAATGAAGGTCCCATCTCTTCTAACTCAATCTGTGGTGTTCTGCAACCAGATTTCTTCAACAGCAACTTATAGCTCCCCTTCAGAGCAGTGAAGTGCAGAACATACTCTAACCCAGCCAGGCGGATATTTGTTACTGTGGGGGCGGGCCTCTGAAGAAATCATTAAGACTTTTTAGTCTTCTGTAGTCTTCTGTAGTGTCAAAATCATCAACAGCAAATATTAACATGGGTTTTGTTCCCTCAGGACATTTACTGTTCTTAATATCTTTTAGACACAAATTTCTCAATACCTAACTCAATCATATCCAGCACATGGTAGTCATACATACGACATATTACTAGGTTATTGGGCCGTTTCTTACTATGGGATCCAAACATGAATAAAGAACAATCTGACTTCTTTGAAAAGGACTCCAGTGATGTCTGATCCTCAAATGGTCTTGTAATATTTTTCTTTTTATACAGAACTCCATATGGTTTTTTCAGTGCATACACGTCTTTCAGTACTTGTGTCACTATTGAATTTACATTTCCCCCTTTCATCAGCATAGCGTTTTTATTATTTTCACTAAGTTTCGGTTCTCTCTTCTCAAGGAATCTCTTGGCTCTTTTTGTTTTGGGCTTTATAACTCGGTCCAAGACGTCCATCGCTACCACCTCAGTTCACCCAATACACGTGCACTGTGCGGGTGTGCGAGATAAGCGCATGCGCGGGGTCACCTGGAACCGGAAACTGCTATCAGGTGGTTTTTACTTGCTTTCTAGGTAAATTGTACAATTTCCAAAATTGTCAGTTTGAGTCTGCTTGAAATTTAAAAAATTATTAAGTGGTAATACTTACCTCAGACATTGCTGTTAATGACGTAAATGACGGCAGAGACTAGGAACTCGTGAAGTAATGTATATAGGGCCAGCATTATGCTGGCTTATATTACTATTCTACTTCTTAGATTTATACCACATCAAAAGGAAGGTGTCCAGCAACACAGTCGGTACTTGACAGCAGTAGCAAATAGACTAATTGCTAACAAGCAGTTGACTTGTCTTACCTTCATATTTCCAGGCCCTTCCATGTAGTCTCGCACACTATAGGTATTCTGTATAATGATATGAAAACCCAATAAAAAACCTTCCAATACTGGCAGAAAGCAGACATGTTTATTCATCATCAGAATCCCTGTGGAATTGTTGAACACTAAATTTCAGTTCTCATCTTTAACTTCATGCACTGGATTTGCTTTTTTCACCGAACTGAGACAAATTAAGACACTGAATATGAAGCTGTTTTTTCAAAAAAAAACTACACAATTTCCCTCCTACTCCAGGTAGAATTAGATTGTGGCTATTGGTAGGTTACATAGGTATTCTTAGGACACGATCCTCATCTCTAAATCCCTTATGTACCTCACAAAATACAGTCTATCATAGACACTCAGTAAATATTTCAGCCCATTCTGTTGGCAAGTCCTGCTGTGCAGCTGCACAATATATTCCAATTTCAACTACTACTCATCCCCATTATTACCATCTTAATAAGTCACTTTGTATTGTTGTTTGCCTGAATAACTGCTATCGCTTCCACACTGGTTTCCCAGCTTCTATTCATCTCCCCCCAAATAAAAATGATCAGTAGGGTTAAAAAAACCAAGCAATCTGCAAATCATAAATTAATTCATTTTCTGCCTGAAATCCTGTAAGGATTTGTTCTTTAAATTAAATCTACAAGCCTCTTCATTAAGGACCAAGAAACTTTAGCCTACCGGTTGCCACCTACCTGTTTTTATAAAAAGTTTTACAGGAACACAGCCACATACTGTCTACAGCTGCTTTTATACTGAAATGGAAGAGTTCAGTAGTTATGACAGAGATATGGGTTGCCAAGCCTGAATATTTACTATCAGACATGGAAAGTTTGCTGACCCTTGTTCTCTTACTGGATCTTATATCCCCTTCCTCAGGTACGTACATCTCAATCAAGGCCTTTCTACCTCAGTCTTTGCACATCCTGACTGAACTGTCCAGGAATGATCTTCAGTCATATCACCCATGACTTTTCTTATGATTCAGGTCTGTTTCAGTATCAACTCTCCACAAACTTATCCTAGCCAACCAATCTAGAGTGGTCCTTTCATCTATTCTAGTTATTTATCCGTTAGGAAACTGTAATATTTCTGGGGGAGGGGTGCTGGGAATCAAACTCAAGATCTTGCATATCCTAGGCAAGCACCATATCACTGATTTTTTTGAATGGTGAAAATGTTGATTTAGAATTAGCTAAGTTGGACTGTTTAGATGATCCCAATTTGTTGCCAACATTTAAAGCATCACAATCAGGAGCCAGAGCATACACGCCTTCTCCACTGTGTCGGTCCATCAGCCTTGATCTAGGAATTGACTGGGAGCACATTAAAGGCATAAAGCTTTTTCACATCCTCACCGAATTGGTGTTTCCTGGCTTTGACACCTACAACACACACAAATGTATAGTTGCCTTTTCTCTTTTTCATGGCATACTCAGCAGTCAGGGGGAACCTGATGACACCTGACAAGTGAATGAGCTTGCATCTCCTAGAGGTGTTCTTCCAAAGGTACTGCAGCTGTCTCTGGAGCCACAGTGTCTTGGGTCAATGGAAGGTAGGTGATATGCAGATCTTTTGTGACTGTGGATGCCTTTCAGCACTATCTTCTCGATGTTTAAAACCTTTGTCTTCACCTTTGGGAGGATCAAGAGCTTCCTTCTTTACTTTCTATGTCATACTGGTGAAAGTCCAACAAAACAGTATTGGATATTGAAATTAGGTACTAATAGTTATCTCCCCAATTAGAATATAACCTCCAGGACAGATGAGACTTTGCTTTGTATATCCTAACCACTGTTTTTATCAGTCCAATAAGCTCAAAGCCCCCAAATAATGCTTAGAATGCCTTTTGGATTTTCGATTTCAAAAGAAAAAGGTCATTTAGCAACTGCTGCAAAAACTGAAGCCAAGGCCAGGAATACATTCCAGCTCAAGTCAGGTTCCAGTTTCAATGATACAGACTTAGCCTCAACACAAGCCTGATCTCAACTGTAGAAAGTCTGAAGAAGATTTATCAACATTCCTGGCCTCTTGCCTGATAAGCAAAACAACTCCACCAACAGCACATTCTCCTGATTACACCTGTAATCCCAGCACTCAGGAGGCTGAGGCGAGAGGACTGCCCTGAGTTTGAGGCCAGCCTGAATCAGATGACAAGGCCCTGTCTCAAAGAGTATACTCTCCTGAACAGGGATCCACCTTGGCTTCATCAGGTAAGGAAAACATTAGCAAAACTAGGCAAGGGGTAAGGTCACAGGACAGAACAAAGAAGTTCTCAACTTTATGATTATTATGGTTAAGAATTTTATTATCAAAATTATTACATCTCTTGTGAAAGTTCAAATGTTACAGCAAGGTGTAAACACTCCATTTGAGAAAGAAGTGATACTTCTTCCCTTCCAAGAGTTCCCCCCCATCCCCCCCCCCCAGGAGGTCTGGTCTTGACAGCACCCTGCCCACACAGAGTGGCTGGGGTCCCTGCACGTGCCAGGCAGGGTGAGGGCTGCCTGCCCGCTGGCCTCGCCCCTTGGTTAACAGCCAAGGGGAGAATGCAAACCCCAGCCCAAATGGAGAGACATTTACATACATGTTATATAATATACAAAGAAACCGGCATCCCAGGCAACATGATTTCCACTCCCAATGCTCTCCCAGACTGATGGGTTTGTGGGGGAAACAAAAAGAAGAGTACTCTGCTGAGGTCTCAGCATTAAAAAGAAAATCTCCCCTCATTTGAGCAAACACCTGATTTTCAATTTTGCAAAGTGAAATTTTGTAACAGTCACACACAAAGAGAGAAGACTGTGCATATGATAGTTGTAAGACAGGGTAGAAAAAAAAGGATGCAAGAGGCTGGGGAAAAAGAACAAATTAGAAGGAGGGAGACTCACAGTATTATCTTGTCCAAAAGAAAAGAAGGTCCACTGCAGCACCAGGGATCACACCTGTCATATATTTACTACCCCTACCATGGTTATAACTGAATACAAAATTAAGATAAATAAAAACACGCCGGGTATTACAGTAAACAAGTGAAAGAAATAAGCTGGCAACCATATGGAATTTAAAAAGATTGTGTACCCCACCTGGGCTGGCTCCAGGGCACCTCCAGGGGTGTACAACAGGCACAATGCACTGATGGGGAGAAGCCAGTCTGCTCTGTCTCATCCAGAACAGTGTTAGGGGTGTGGGTGGCTTGCTAACTCTCTCATCAGCCCACTCTCACATAAGCATCCCCCAAAGAAAAGTGGGGCAAGCCCACACACAATCACAGTCTTGTCGGTGCCACTCCACAAACCTATCTTCCCACTCTTACCCTGCAGTCACGAGTACGTGCTCTCCAATCACGGAGGCGGTGCTACTCATGGGATCCAACTTCTGATTAACTGGGAGTAGAACAGAAAATACAAAGAAGTCCCAGACCACTTGAGATCCTTCCTTATTGAATTACCAAAAGATGTAACTGATTTCACTGGGAATCACTTCTCATTCCACTTTTGTCTAGTTACGCCATGGGTTTCAAAACTGTGAAACAGTTTGGGAAGACAAGTGGAATGGTAACATCTGGGGCTCAAATCTCCTCACATAATCTGCTCCCAAATAATCAAGAGCTGACCATAAGCTCTTTTTCAGAAAGCCAGGCAACCCTCAGTCAGAGCAAGCTCCAAGCTTTATTATCCCTGCCCATTTCCTGGTTTTAAGACAAAGGTAAGAAGTACTCTGGGTGGACACACCTTAGCCAGACATCTGCTTTTGGAATGGTTCTTTTAAGGTGAACATTTACATACCTACCATTTTTCTCAAGTGCATAAAACCCTAACACTACTTGGATGGCTTGGGGCTCTGAGATTGGCTCTTCTCACTTTTTTCTTTTGAAATAAAAACTTTTTTTTTTTTTTAAATTTAAAAAGATGTCCTCACTGCACAAGTGACTACTGGCTACAGGCAAGGATGGGAGACAGAGGCTTCAACACAACTCATTGCACTTAGAACTGTTACTAACTGAAACACCATTTGCTTGTCAACAATGTACCCTTAACAGCAGGGAGAAACTTTATAGTCTTTGCTTCAGACAAGATTTACATCTTTCTCCAAGGCCAGAGGCCAGTCACGACCACAAGTCTTGTTTCTTGTTGACCAGACCCAATCCTCTGGCGCCTTGTATCCCCCCTTCCCCAGCAATATGCTCGGCCGAGGTTCCAGAGGCAGCTGGAAGGAAGCAGCTATGGGCTCATTCAGTTCAGTTTGCCCATATCCAGAAGCCCTAGGAAAGTCCTGTCTGAGTCTTGACTCCCGACCCTTGCAGTGGCTGGAGTCGGTACTGGTGCACACTCCCACTCCCGCGGTGTGGGTAGTGCTGTGAATTGGAAACCGCAGATACCCTGGAGGCCTGGTAGGCAGCTGACTGCCCAGCACTGGGCAGACTGATAGTCCGTAAGTCTGATGGCAATGACGACCTAGAGTTCTGAGGAAAGGAGGTGGAACTCAAAGTTCCTGTGCTGGACTGAGAAACTGAGTCTGAGGTTGGCGAGTCTGAGGGGCCCTGCAGGGTAGGGCTAGCAGCACTAGAATGACAGCTCTTCCTCGGAAGACTGCTGCCAGTGCTGTTTCCAGAATGTGGCTGGCTGCTATAATACCCTGGTGTCCCCGTAAATGGGGCCAATGAGTCTGTGGACGCAGGGTGGGCGGGGCTGGGAAAGGATGCTGAAGAGAGGGATGATTCTGAAGAACTGTGAGAGGGGGGATTTCCAGGTCTCAGTGCAGTAGTTCGATAACTGTATCCTGGAGACTGAGTGGGATGTCCTCTAAAAGGGGAGGAACTCTGCTGAAGGAGGATTTGTGATTCTGTCCGTGGACTGTCACACTGCAGGAGCTAGAAAGAGTGGAGAGGAAAGCATAAGGAAGTAAACAAGTCTCTTCAAGGGCTTGAGAATATTTACAGTATCCAACTTTTTTCCTTCACGTTTCTTTAACATTCCCCCCCCCTTTTCTTTTCTTTTTAGGATCCCAAAGGCATTAAGAAGGCTGTCTCTGATCATCTTACTTTATACCCGAGGTTGAAGACATGACTTACTTCCAGAGCTGTGAAATTATATGCAATGCCAGTATCGAAACTGCACAGAATAGCCAGGACCACAAGTCTCTGTAACTTATAACACACTCTGATGCCCAGAGATCAGCAATGCCTTGACTCACCTGGTAGCTGTATCTGGAAGGGCTGTAAACGGTTGCTCCTTTAGAGAGCGCTGAACTCAATGTGTCTGGGCATTCTCCATCTGCAGGATCTGGAAGGTATCATAAAATCAACCTGGCTTCTCAGAATAAGTAAGAAATAGCCGTTGTTCATTCAAAGGACCAAAGCCATCACCAATTCATGCTGCTCTCCTTGTGACAAAATGAGTGAGTGCAGCATGCCAGAAGGGCAAAGGAGGGTTTCATTATGGGCTATGTTTTAAATGCCTGATCTGATTCTTGTCTCGTTCTCTTCATCCTTCATCCAAGTGGAGATCCAGGACTTTGGAGAGATGAGAGTTACAGAAAGATATTCCTTGGGAAAAAAGAGCAGATAAGACAGCAAGCAATGCTAGATATTATAAATACTGTAGCCCAACAGAGCAAGACTGAGCTGGAACCTAGCATGTGGCAGAGCCCAAGTGCGCCAGAAACTGACTCACCTCATCCCAGCCTTTGGTGTGAGCTGTGTAGAGCCTGGCTCACAAGTCCCTGAACCTTGTTGGCAGCAGAAGGCCAGGGGCTCACCTGAGTCTTTCTCTGTGCTGTTACTCTCCCATGTGGGAGAGGGCTCCCCCTTTTGGGCGACTCTCACACTGCTCCGGAGGACTTTAGGAATGCTCCCTCCTTCTCGGAGTCGTTCCACTGATGTGGGAACCATCCTGCAAAGTAACAGGGCACAATTTTAAGCCACAGGCCTCAAGTCAAAAGTCTGAAATAAATAAATCCTGAGAAAGGCTGTACAATATAGGGTATTATCTTAAAAACACCCTCAAATATCTTTTGGGGGTATGTGTTGGGGAAGGATTTATTTAAAACAAGCCATTTCCTCTTTTTAAAACTATGTCACATATAAAAGAAAAAAAAGGGGCCAGGGATTTAGCTCAGTGATTCCACCACCTGCCTTGAAAGTGCAAGGACCCGAGTTTGATCCCCGGTACAAACAAAACAAAACAAAAAACAAAAAAAAAAACGTTTAAAGATAAAGAAATGAAGGAAAAAGTATATTAAAAATATCAATTAAAGGGCTGGGGTTTTAGCTCAGTGGTTTTGCTGCCTGCTGCGCAAGTGCAAGGACCCGAGTTCGATCCCCAGTATAAAAAAAAAATTCCATTTAAAAATGCTGTATTTTTTCCACTGTGAAATCATGTGCCTGACATTTAAGTAGCAGTTTAATAAAGGTTTCTCAGATTAATGACAAAATCATTTGAGCTATGTCTTTCCTTTCCTACAATGTCTCACTTTTCTATATATGCTAGCTGCACGGGATAGACATCTGTTGTTAATTCAAATAGAACTTAGCAGGACTCCTAAATTACTTCTCAAAGGAACTGAGAAAATACAAGAGGCAGTGTTAGTGCCCGCCAAGCCAACTATCTCATGGGAATCCATGAGTATATATGCCTTGTAAAGTGCTGTTCCATAGTAACCCTTTGCTTCTGCAAGGCTGGAGGATGTGACTGATAGTATTAATCAGCTAAGCAGGACAGATAGCACAACTAGGTGGGTCTAAAGTGTACTCATATATTTTAGGCAATATTGGGATGATACTAGATATATACTTCCCTTCTAAATTTAATGATAAAACACCAAATATAAACTTACCACCTGCTGCTGATATTCTCTTGAGGTCTGCAGTGAGATGAAGAAGTGCCTCTGGAATCTGATGGGCTTACTGCCTCCAAGTGGGACACAGAGGAATGAGATGGGGAGAATTTTCTGTGAGGGGATGATGGGGTTCGGGCTGAGGATCCCTGCATGCCATGGGCGCCAGTGTCAGAAACAGAGTTACTGCTGCCTTGCCCAGCTCCTGCAGACTTGCTTTTGTTCTGCGCTGAGTCACCTCCCCCACCAGCAGAATTCTCCTTGGCTTCTTGTTTCCGTTTACGGTACTCCAGCAGGGACACCTAGAGAGGAAAAAACAAACAGTACTTCAGCTGGGTATCATTACTGGATCACTAGCAATGGGGAAAGAAGAAAGGCTGGAACCCTGGTAAACCAGTAGTGAAGCCAGTGTTATAGGAGAAGAAATTATTTACAGTTTATACTTCAGCAAATTAGCTCCAGAAAAGCCATCCGTATCTGGACACTTCCCAACTTCCCCACCATCCACCTAATCCTTGTTATTTCCTGACTGCACAACAGACTCTATTCCCTTCCTTGGCTAGTACACCTCTTTGCTGTTATAACACACTGCACACATAGGTTTTAGAAGCTGTTACTGTTTTCACTGTTTCGGATAGTCAATGCTATTCATACAACAATCTTTGAAACCCATTACTATCTTATTCTAAATTATCTGCCTGTGTTTCCTTTTTTCCTACTCACTAAGGCCTCTTATTTTTCTGACCAAGTGTAAAATATAACAAAAATACAAAAAGTCTGCATAGAAAATATTTAACTTGCCTTAGTTTCCTTATCTGCAAAACAAGAAATTATCTTATAGGGTTATGGTGAGGATAAAATGCATCTGAAGAGCTTAATAGTGCCTAAAACTTAGGAAATGCTACATAATGTAAGGAATTATTTTCACTTTTCTAGCCTTCCGACTGCCTAACAGGTATTGACGTTTGCTGGAGATTTGTCTTGTGGTGCTAGGGATCAAACATAGTCCCTCACATAAGGTAGGCAGATGCACTACTTTTAATTCACATCCTTAGTCTTTCTTGTTGGATATTTACAATATTCACCAAATTGTATTAAAACACTATTTCGACATGGCAGAGATTAGCTCTTACTGATCTAATAGTGCTAAGCACACAAGCGAAACTTGGTAATACTAAATTATTTGGTCATTTTTTTTTTTTTTTGGTACCAGGGATAGAACTTGGGACCTTGCGTTTACGAGGCAGGCGCCAGAACCACTGAGCTAAATCCCCGGCCCCAATTTGGTCATTCTTTATCGTTCCAATTTTAGTATATGTGCTGCCGAAGCGAGCACTATTTAGTCATTCTTAACAAGTGGGTGTATAACATGAAATATTTACCTTTTTCCTCTGTGGTGGGTTCTGTGGGGCAGATGGAACTCCTTCACAGGCCCTTTCGCCACCAGGTGACATGGATCCACGAGCGAGGTCTTTCATAAAGCCATGTTCATATCTGCTGGGAAACCCTTCGGCAGGGGAACAATATCCTCCATCCAAATGTAAAGGTTTCCTATCCCCCACTAGGGGAGACCCCCTATATAATCCATCTGCACGAGGCATTGCGTTCAAAGGGGAGTAGGCATACATCAAGTTGAACTCTGTCCGAAATGCCTGGTCTGAGTTTCTCATGAGGGTCTGATGTCCATCTCCACTCCTGTTTGGGAATCCAGTCTCTGAGGCAGGCCCAATGGAGGGATGAGGAGCCAGGTCAGAAGGACCTGAGTTGAGCAGGGAAGGTTTGTCAGTACAGCTGTTAGTGTTGGAGTCAAGGTATCCTACTTTTGTCAAATCCAGGTCTTTTCGGTGACAAAGCTGAAAGAATAAAAACCAAAAGACATAGGGCAGGGGAGAAAGGAAAAAGTCAAAGGGCAGAAAGGGAGGTGAGGGGGGGGCACGGGTGCACAGGAAAGATAAGAGGGATGGAAGTAGAGGAGAGAAATCCATTAAGATCTGTAAAAATCCCACAGAGCAACAGTTTACATAGGCCACACTGCTAAAGAATCACAGCTTCCCCCCAAATGCTGTCTTTTCAGATGAGAATAATGGGAAAGTCAGAATCAGATAATTGGCTAAATGTGACTATTTTGCCTGCTCAGCCTTTCATCAGGTTTGTGGAGTCATCATGTACACTAAAGGACTGGGGGTATAATCAGGGATTTACCTGAGCCCCGTATACACCACAGAGAAATATTAAGATAATTAGCTCCTAGTGTTATTCACTTTTAAATTAATATTGATGGAAGGTGGGGAAGGGGAGAAGGTGGAGAAGAGTAGAAAGTAGAGGAAAAGGCAAGTATTTAAGTTGCTGGTTCATTAAGGAGAATGGCATTAAGAACATCTATTGACCAGTTCTTCATGCATTTTCACTGTTAGCTAAGTGTGTTTCTTGCACAACTTTCTAGCCACTCTTTCTTTAACCTCTAATATATGCCAACATATCACAAGACCACTAATATCCATCACTGCAGAGCATGTACGATGCTGAAATATACCAAAGATAAACTCCACCTATTATTTAGTTATCATTAGCTCCTAAAACCAAGACTTTCTATCATGAGGTCAATTGCAGCTTACCTGTCTATAAGGAATGGTACCAGAAACCCAAATGCCATGCCATGTCAGTCTCCAAATTGTGCTGTCTCACACTCTTGAACTACCGAGGAGAGGAAGCTGTACTTTCCTAACAAGACAGCGTCAAGATGCCTGAAAATGTCTCTCATACACTTGGGGAATGAAATCATTTTCAGTTTCATATTGATCTATAAATCCTATTGATTCAGAATTTGGTTAACTCTCATAGAACTTAGTCCTGATTTTTTATTTGAAGTGAGGGTTAAAGTTCAGTTAATTTCTGAAAGGTCATGTGAGACTATAACTTTTAAAGAGGAAAACGTTTTGTTTTTTTTTTTGGTACCGGGGATTGAACTTGGGTCTTTGCGCTTGCGCAGCAGGCGGCAAAACCACTGAGCTAAATCCCCTGCCCAGGAAAATGGTTTTATGTACACTCACAGATAATGACTGTCTTTGTCCAAATCTTATAAGAAAATCTCTAGCACCAAAATCTGAATTTAGCATCTTTGTTATAGCAGTTTCTGAGAAAAGCACTCAATTGATGTCCAAAGAACTAACACTTTGTACAGTAACTATCCCAACTATTGCAGAATGGAGGGAGGCCTGTGACACAGAAGCCATGGACTGATTTGGTTTCCTGTATACTCCATAAGGAGCTACAAAGAAAATGTAGGAAAGCTGTGAGGCAGAAAACTTTCCCAAAGAAGCTACTCGATCTATCAACCAAAGCCCAAAACAGACGGTTAAGCAGAACTGTCAGATTAACCTTGGAACAAAGTATAAGTCATTGTCCAACTCTTCCAATATAAGCCGCCCAAGATCATAAATATTAAAAGACAGTTCTTACTTACAACTTTCCTTATTTGTAAACAAACAGACCTCATTGATTAGACGTTATCAAAGAACTTATTTAACTTTTCTATCACACATTCACTATCCTTTAAACTTGACTCTAGAGTCTAATCTTTAAAGGAACACATCAGCCACCCCTCCCCCAAACAACAACAAAAACCATCCCCATCACATACATACAGCTACTTCATTTCTCTCCATCTACATGGACACAGGAAGATTCATTCAACTTGCTGTGACTGACTGGCCGCCCTCCAGCCCATTAACCCATTCACTCAGACCCCTGACCCTCCCCACACACTCAGGAACACACTCATGCACACTCACTCTCAGCCTCCAAGTGTGATTGAGATGGTGTGATAACTACCTCGGGTGACAGGGACTCGGGCCTATGCGCAGGGGAACTCTCAGGGGAGGATATGTTCTAGAGGAGGGAAAAGCATCTTGTTATTCATCTACTCCAAGTCAAGAAGCAAAACAAAACAAACAAAAAATAAAAGCAAGCATAGATGTTAGCCACAATTTTTTTTGAGGGTTGGACAAGAATGCATAGGGGAAATGTTTAACTGCAGAACTCATCTCAATGGAAAAAATGATTCTGAAATGCTTTCTGATGCCTTTGAAAGCATTTAAGGATAAATTGGTTATGTTTCATGCTATAAGCAAACATCTCAAGCACATATCAGGAAAAGAGGTGAAATTTTAGTGTTATGTTTCTTTGTATTTTAGAAGAAAGTTTAGCGACCTACAGTATTTTTTATCAGTGGGCATTCTACACCTTATTCCTCCTTAGAGGAATGCTGTTCCTTTACCTGCACCCTTCTGATGTTACATTTTTCCATTCTCTTGCGTGCTTCTATCCAAGCTGGGAACTGAGAAAAGTGGTAAGTAGGAACTAGGCTAGTTCCTCCTGAATGTCAGTTACAGAAAGTGTGACTGATGGAATTCCTAGCTCCACAAAATTTAATGGGACTGAACATCTCTACCAATGGTCTCTTGGCTAACATCCATTGTACCTTTGGGAACACAGCAAAAAGAAAGAGAGCGAGCAAGCCAGAGTGAGAGAGAGAGAGCGAGTGAGAGAGAGAGAGCGAGCGAGAGAGAGGGAGAGCGCGAGCAAGTGCGAGCGTGAGAGCGAGCATGAGCGAGAGCGGGCACAAGTGAGCAAGCAAGCATGTGTGTTCACTTGGAGTCCCTTTTTGACCTAAGGCAGCATTCCCTAACAAACAGGTACTGAGTAGTGCACTCTGGATACGGAGATGTGAATGGCAACAAGAAAAGAAAGTGATGGCAACAGCTATGGCATGATTCGAGGTTGAAGGGCTGAGACTGCTGTGGGCTCTGGGACAGTTATGGTCTGGGTGGCAGATCTATGCTGTGGCAGGCCTGAGGTTCCTTCAGCACAGCAAGGTTTTTCGTGTAAATTTTATTCAGTGTGGAGGGTGGCAGGTATACACGTGGATGCCTGCCTGTGTGTGAGATGGAGAGTGAAGTTTGGATCTGAGACTGGGAAGAGCAGGGAAGGGTTATTTTGGGAGAAAGGAGAGGCTTATTAAGCTTGCCCTCCCAATGCTGCCCTCTCTAGATGCTTTCCCCTCCTGAAGATTGTGTTCTCTTTCACTGTATACCTAACCTTCCACTGGAGATTTCTCAGCTTTCTTTCTCTTAAATGTTTATTTTTCCTTAAAAAAAAAAAAAAAAAAAAGACAAAAACAAACAGAACAGCTTTTCCCAAATTAAGGTGTTTTTTATTTGTGACATCTTTCTGACACTTATCTGTATCATAGGTTTGGTTTTATTTTTTTGAAAGTGGGGGAATAATGGTGATTGACTCCAAGGAACACTAAACCAGATCCTCTTTAATTGTTTTTATTTTGAGACAAAGGTCTCATTAAATTGCTGAAGCTCACTAATTTGGCCCCAAACTCATGATCCTCTTGCCTCAGCCCTGAAGTTGCTGGGATTACAGGCATGTGTCATCATGCCTGGCTTGGGCCATAGTTTTTGATGGAAAAAAAAGCTACTCATCTCTGTACTAGAGTATGGGAAAGAGTGTGGCCATTAGAACGGTGACAAGAATGGGTAAAGATGGCAGTGTTTGTTTTTTTTTTTTTTTTAAAAATGATGAGAAAGTAAATTTCCTTAAACCACAGGTTTACAATAACGGAACCACGCACTGGAAATTTTGCTATTTACTATAATATATTCTTTCCTTCCTGGCATTCAAAAATTATGCTTGGATAATGTTTCACTAAAATGATCTTTTTAGCTTTTTAAAAACATAAATAATACTTTGCATTTGCATAGCATTTCAGTTATTCAAAATGCTGCAAGGGAAAGGAATGTGCTGAGTACTAAACTTGCCTTGATAAAGTATTCAACCCTAGTCCTAAAATCTACTAACCTCCCAGAGGGAATTTCCTCTCATGGTACCTTACCCTAAAACTCTTAATTGCTAAGTGAAAGTCAACAGGTAAAAGGAGAAAGGTCTTAATTAGCTGCTTTTGTATTTGGCTAATAAGAATACCATAGGAATTTGAAAAGCAGTTATGTTACTTCCCTAAAAAGTCAAATGTAACTGGGAGGCATTTTTTTTCACATGGAAAGAGGTTCACTCCAAAGGTAAGTTATTGTACAGAACACGTAACTCTTCACAAGGTTGTTAGCTCTCTCTGAGTTATCTATATATTTTCAATCCTAACTCTCTCTTAAAGGCTGAACAGGCAGGTGGAGTTGGTTAGAACATTCAACTTTATTGAGGCCACATCTAAAGAAGTGAAAGCTGAAGGTAGAGCTGAGTATGTTTAGTGGCCAGAACAAATTTTTCTGAGAAGGAATAAGTGGGATCCATTTAATTTAATTTCATATCAGAGCAACATACGATAGTTGAGTCTTTTTGTAGGGGGATGATACTGGAGATTGAACACAGGGCCTTCATACCGAGCTGTATCTCCAGGCCTTTTTATTTTTTTGTTTTGAAACAGGGTCTTACTAAGTCCCTAAGTTACATAGGCTAGGCTTGAACTTGTGGTTTTCCTACCTTAGCCTTCCAGCATGCCAGGATTAAAGGCATACATCACCATGCCTGGCTAATAGATGAGTTTTTAAAATATACATGGATTCTATTCAAACACAAACTTGAATATTAAACTGTTTTAAATTATATTTAGAAGCAGCTGAGGTATACACATTTCTAATTTATCTACAAAATGCATATAATAAATTTGTCTTTAAAAAATTCGTATTATTAGCCTCCTGTCTACTTCTCATCTCTCGCAATTATACAAGGACAAAGTAATTTGGTGTTTAAAAAAATCTGTATTCACCATAAGCCATACACTAATGCTTTTTAAATCTCTGTTCACTGAGGCCACAGTGGAAATACCAAACAACCTGGAGAAAACAATTCCCTCATTTAAAGGCCTAGAAACAGAGACACAATCCACCAGTCTAACCTGATCGCTCAGGATGGTGTTACTAATGGCTTCAACAGTCACCTCAAAGTGAATTTTGACCAAGGTATACAGTAAAGGTAAAGATCCAGCATGCTTACTACTTAAAAGTTAAGGAGAATGAGGGATTGCATGCCAAAGACAGATGAATGGAACCCTTGGTAGCACTGCTCCTATTCCGAGAAATACAGGGACTGACAAGATGAGAGGCTACCAGGTAACAAGTCACACCAACCCTGAGGTTCCCCATTCTCTTGGTGAGATGGGTAAGGAAGATAGTAAAGAAACATTTGAAATGATAATATACTTGAAATGAGAACTCACAAATGATTATTTTCATATCTAGCACTCCCAACAATCAAACCCAAATCACCTCAAACTGCAGAGGAGTGTTGCAGCGACTAGCAGTGGTGAGAGATGCGATTGGGGAGAACATGAGACTGTATCCATTTCGACATTCCTCTTCTGGGTGAGTGTGGCCAGGTGTGGTCAGCTGGGGGCTCTTTGAGCCTGAACCAGGAGGGGGTGGTGTAACTGGAGACAGAGGCTGAAGTAACTTGGTGACATTCTGCTCCATCAGATAGCGAGACTTCCATTTCTTTAATGGGCTCAACAAGTCTGTGAAATATAAAACGTGGGTGAGAGTTGAACCACAGCTTAATGCGAAGCTCTGCAGTAAGGCCATTAATCTTTTAACCTATAGTGGCTCCTAACTCCTCTTTACCTTACCTCATTAAACCATCTCCTTTAATCAGCCCAAAAGCCCGAAGAAGCTCTTTAATTACTACACTGCAATAACTTGCAAATCACTCTATCTCCCGGAGAAACTCCAAGTGAATATGGTAATTCTAATGATAAGTCCCATCCTGGGAGCTAATCTACCCTCTTCCAGACCAAAATATAAATTTCTTTCCATCATACCAAGTTTCCAAAATTCTTAAATCTGTGTTACTTTGTTAAAATGACCCTCAACGTAACTGCCATATCACCAACTAAAACTACTGGGATGCCCAATGCATATTCCTGTCATCCTGTCTTATATATATGTATCTGTGCCCTTTTTCAGCAGCTCTTTCTATAATATTTGTGGAGTCAAACGTGATTCCCCGATTCATATCTAGCCTCTAGTATCAGAGGGTTACAAGTGTGAAATGATTTCTGAAAGTTCTTTTTTATTTTCCTCTGGTACTGGGAATTGAACTCAGGATCCGATACTTGCCAGGCAGGCACAGTGCCACTGAGCTACATCCCTGGCCTGTGATTTCTATAAAAACTCCCAAACTAAAAAAGAAAACTAGGTTGATTAACCCTACTAACAAGTAGAATATATATTTTAGTAACCACTCAAGGATAAAGTACGTATCTCACTTGATTCTCAGAGGAAAAATAAACTTTCTTTTTACTTACATGAACATTATTTAATAGCCACTATTTGGACATCACTAAACTAGGTAAGTAGGGTGAAATGGTCATTGTATGTTCTATTTTTAAGGAGCTTACATGTTTGTAGAAGAAAACATATTTAAAATGTTTAATTTAGTATGATCAAGGGAGGTGATCATACTGCCATATGTTAATAATAATTAAAAAAAACCCCACAAACAGTTAAAGCCAGGTTTAATGATGTGTGCCTGTAGTACCAGCTACCCGGGAGGCTGAAGCAGGATCAGTTGAGCCCAGGAGTTCAAAGCTAGCCTAGGAAAAACAGTGAGACTTTGAATCAAAACCAACCCCTCCCCAAACAACCAAACAAAACCCAAAAAATCCCAAATAAATAAAACCCCTCAGAACAACAACAAGAACAGCAACAACAAAGACACCAAAACCTAGCTAAGTTTTCAAGTGATCATTACATATCATGCAGTATACTATGTGTTTTAGGTAGAATATGTGACTTAATTTTTAACAAGTCTATAATCCAGCATTATTATCATCACCCTCATGTTAAAGATGGGGACTCTGATGTACAGGGAGAAAAAAACCTAGGCAATCTAGCTTGTGTCTGAATTACATCCCCAAGGCTCGTTATAAGGGGTGACATTTAACACAGGCCTTCAAGGAAGTTCTAGGTTAGTAGGTTCTGAGCAGAGCAATGCTTCAGGAAGATTAACCTGGCAGAAATGGTTAAGATGAAACTAATAACTGGGAAAAATCTTTGGAGTCAAGGGACTAGTTAACAGAAAGAAGTATGAGACACTAATAATGGTAACAAATCTGTAAAAGGAGAGGCTAGAATACATGCAAAAATACTGGAGATGTTTAAATTTTCCTTTCTGAGAACTCAGTTTATTTCCTGTTTTGAAAGTATATTCATATTTTCCTTTTGTTCCAGATATTAAGTTTTCTTTCCTCCTTTTTAAAAGTGCTTAGGTACCAAAAACAAAGATATAATTCAAGGCTTATATTCAGAATAACTTTTAAACACTTCAAGAGACTTAAATCTTGTAAAAGATTTCTATACTGGTAGCTTCAACACTGTAATTACTAAAAAGTAATGATGTTCACTAGAAAATGTGGGTGAAAACTGCTACCCACAAATCAACGCACACGGCACTTAACGTGTTTAGTAGGAACTTATGACAACTCAACAAAACAGAGCTGACATATGCTCTTATGAGGTATATGGGCCAGCAGGCAGTCTTTTTCTACCTTTTCTCCCTATTTATTTCAGTTTTTGCATACACAGCTGTCAAACTTTATGTAGTTAAACTCTACCTGTATCTAAAGGTATTTTTCACCTTTATTGAAGTGTCTCCTAAGATTATATAAACAAACATTCACATATTTAATCATACAATTTAAAATCGTACCTGTAATTTAAAAGCAGTGCTGGCATATTTTTATCTAGCCTTCTTTTCTGACATGGCCTCATAGACTTTGCTTTACCCCCACTGCACAGTAATACTTTCACTCAGATATACATGGTGAAATTATGTTTCAAGGACAATAAATAAAAACCTATAATTCAGTTTCAAATGGTTAACTGGCATTAATATTACCCAAATTTAACCAACTTAAGTATTTTTTTTCCACTGCTATAAATACATGCTAATGACCAAAAAATTTGCTACTCCACATTCCTGCTTCTGTTTTGCTTATTACTTTTTAAGACAAATGGTTACATGTAGGATTTCTGAACCAAAATAATATTTACATATGCTAACTTTTTATTTATTCTTGTTTGAACTGTGGGCTCACGTCCTTTACAATAAGTTATTAATGTTCATCTTTTCCTGATTTATAAAGGCTCTCTAAATATGGAGGTTAACCCTTTGTTAAAAATGTTACTAATGTATCTTTTGCATTTAAAAAAAATTAATTTTACCGGTACGCTTTTGATACACATAATGATCATTGTTGGGAATTTGTACCTGTACATAATATATATTGATTCTTCTTTCTTTCCCATTCCACTCCCTTCCCTTCAAACCTTCTCCTTATTTATAAAAGCTTTGTTTCCAGGGGCTGGGGATTTAGCTCAGTGGTTTCGCCGCCTGCTGCTCAAGGGCAAGGACCCAAGTTCGATCCCTCGTACCAAAAAAAAAAAAAAGCTTTGCTTTCATTCTTTCTTCCCCCCCCCCTTTCCTCTTCCTTATCTTCCCATCTCCCCTTTGGTTGGCCTTTAAAATGTCATTATTATGCAATATTTTGTTTTTATTAAGTCAAATGTATTAGTTATTTTCTACCTTTATCATAAATACCTTTGCCACTCTATGCCAAAACTACAAAAATGCCAGCTTAGTTGGGCGTGGTGGTGGACATCTGAAATCCTGGCACTTGGAGGCTGAGGCAGGAGAGTTACTGTGATTTTGAGGCCAGCCTGAACCACATAGTGAGAACTTGTCTCCAAACCAAACCACAAAAAACAAACCTAAACAACAAAAAAAGCCAAGGAATATTTTTTATTTCCAGGTTTAATTTACATTTTATCAATTGATTCACTGATTGCAAGGCCTCATAACCTGCTAGCTAAGCACTCTACCACTGAGCAATACCATCAGCCAGACTTAATTTACATTTTAATAAAACAAAAACCATAGACATAGTCTGTAAATCTAGCTACTCAGGAGGTTAAGGCAGGAGGATCTCAAGCTTGAGAGTAAAAAGAGGTTAAGAAGAATTTGTCTCAAAAAAAGGGCTGGAAATGTAGCTCCCTGGGTTCAATCCCTAGTACTGGAACAAAGATAAATTTAAATAAGGCAGGAGATGAGAGAGAACATACTGTGGTATAATAGGTTTTAAGCATATAATATACTTAAGAGTATAATTAAATAGCATACTTACAGTTTTTTAAAATCTAAAAACAGTTGCTAATTATCATCTTCATTGTAAAAGCTCACTGAAACTATAAAATATTATACTTAAGTATAAGGTACTGCTTATTCTTTCCTTTTCCAAGACAAATAACTATGGGACCAACTTTATTCTTCCAAAATTTTTTGAAATTATAACTCTGAAGCCATTAATGTAAACTATCACATTTATTTTATCTCTAAATGTGCTGGGTTTATTTTTGAGTGTTATTCTGTCCATTTAGCATACAATACGAAACCAACAGACATTCTATTTATGAATATACATACATACACATGTATGTACAAATTCTGAAACAGTATCACCCTATATTCCAGGGGACCCTACACTTGCCACCCTTTTGCCTCAGCTTCTTATTCAGGGCTGAGACTACAGGCCTGCGCTACCATGCTGGCTTGACATACTTTTTAGTGAAATTGTTGGGACTATTCTAGTTAAGCTATTCTCCTAGATTCTTTAGCACTTCTAGCGTACATTTTTCATGTCAATGAACTGTAATAATCATTATCAACCACATGCAAACCTTAAAGAAAAAGATTTTGTGGCTGGGGATGTAGCTCAGTGGCGCCATGCCTGCCTGGCAAGTGCAAAGTCCTAAGTTTGAGCCCTGGCACAATATTAAAAAAACAAAAAAGAAAGAAAAGAAAAGAGATTTTGATTGGCGTTCAAAGAACTTTAGTCTTATTCAGGAAATGGCATGATTCTGCCATTATTCAAGCATTGATTTACAACCCTCTTCAATGAGATGCACCACACTTCTAACTAGGGTTACTTTCCAGTGTTCTCTAGTTTCTGCTACTACTGCAAGTAGGACAGATTTCCTCACTTATTATATCTCAATGTCATTAGCTTAAGAAAATGTTTGTTTCCAGCCAACCTATGCTCTCTATTAGCTTTTCAGTTAATTCTCTTGGATCTTCTAGGTAGGTGATTGTATTGATTATACATAATAATATATATATCCTTGGATAAAAATTTTATACTATGATAATGTTAACAGTGAGACAATTTGATAATCCATTTTAAGTTTTAATTAGTTTTCATAATGAAGATGATAACTGGCAATTGTTTTCAGTTTTAAAAACTGTACTTATTCTATTTAATTAGTAATTTTTTTGGAGGGGGCACAGGGTCTTGCTATGTAGTTCAGGCTGGCCTTGAACTCATTATGCCCCCATTCTCAGCTTAAATTATTAAATTTGTAACAATTATTCTGCTCTTACTTTTCCATCTCCTTATGACCTACTAACAACTGAATTATTCTAGTAAATTTCAAATTAAAAATCCTTCTATTCCTAGGAAAATTGATGATACATTATTTAATATTCTTACAGATTCATAGTGTGAATTAAGATCACAGATCTACTTCATAGGTCATACTATGGTGTTTTAGGGTGCATTTAAGTCAATTTGATAAAAGAAATCAAGAATGTTTTTGGGCCGGGGATTTAGCTCAGTGGTTCCGCTGCCTGCCTTGCAAGTGCAAGGTCCCTAGTTAGATCCCTGGTACAAAAAAAAAAAAAATAATAACTTTTTGTTGGTGCTGTGGTGAAGAATGAACCTAGGCCTGCATGCATGCTAGACAAGCCATCTACCACTGAGCCACACCCTCATTCCCAGAAGAAAAACTTCACTGAATAGTGTATGATACTCCATCAAAATCCTCTGCACGCAGCAAATAAAATTACAAATTCTATTATTCCACTGTTAGTTGGAATTCAGGTTCTTTTTATCATATATATATTTTTGTAATTACTAGTAATTATGAATATCTCCGAACATAAAGTTTTGGTTTCCACATCTCTTTATAACAGATATCCACCTCATAGTATAGGTACAGGACTATAAATATTTTTAGTATCTGATACAGCTCATAAAAATTACTAGTAGGAATATAATTCTCTTGTCACTTTCACTGCAAATCCCCTCCCCAATAATATTAACTCAAAAAAAAAAATATGGACACAGAATTATGCTTAAAACTGTTTAAGCAAACAAAAATTTGAACGTGCCTAGATTTGCTCTGGAAAAGTACATAATTCTTTTTCAATTCCCCAAGCAACTGTAAACTCTAGAATAATTTGCCAAATCTTTATCTTAAGGCCTGTTTCTGGCTATTCTGTTCTAAACAGACATTTATTCTTGTGACAGTACCATACTGATTTAATTATTAGTTTCATATTAGAAGACAGGGTTCATACTTCCAGGCAAAATACTTCATTGTTACTTAAAAAATGTTTTTCTTAGCTTTGTATAAAAATAAACTTCAGAATAATTTAATCATATTTTAAAAAGCTACTGTGGAAACTATATGGAGAGATCCAAGACAGAAGACAAAGATATGTGTAGCATTTATTCTTTTCATTAGTGAGTATAGAATTCCTGTCTTTTCCCTCAAACTTTAAACATATTTCTCAATAATGATTTGCTCCACATAACCTAAGGAATGCCTAACCAGCTTAGTTTTTTTACGTTTAGAAATGAAAAATTAAAAATTTTTCTTCACTCATTTTCTTAGCATCTTAATGATTATTACATGCTTTTGTGTATTTACTCCTATCCAGCATTTTTATTTAACTGTTATTAATTGTAAGTTTCTCAAGTGATTACTTAAGTGCTCCTAAGGATCTGTCCATACTACTTACAAATAATGAACATTATGCCTCTTCCCTACTTTAATGGTAATACTTTTTATTTCCATACAACTTTAGCCTTTAGAATCTTTACTGTAGCTAGTATTCATACTTGACAAAACGAGTATTTTGTGTAGAATATGACAGTAGTAATTCATGTTATGACTCAGACACTGTATTGAGCACTTTTTATACCTTACTCAATTTCAGCCCCATAAAGCAAGTATTACTACTGTATTGTCTTTTTTCTTTCTTTTTGGTACCGGGAATCAAACTCGGGTCCTTCTGCTTGTGAGGCAGGCGGTGAAACCACTGAGCTAGATCCCCGGCCCTGTATTGTCTTTTTAAAGGAGGAGCACAGAGACCTTCAGTAACATTGTGTAGTTAGTAATGGCTACAGTTGATCCTCAAATACAGGTCTGTTTGATTTTTTTCTACTATGACAGTATGTCTCCTGTTCTCCATTACTGGTATTCTAAGTAGACTAATAAACAAAAATAATTCCTCAAGATTTACACTAACTTCTAGGAAATTAGCCATTCTTTTGACTACTTCTTGATTTGTTTATTAAATATTTTCCTTTTGTTTATGCTGACACTTAAGGGCAAAGTGTGTTCTGTGAGTCTTTTTCATTCTTGCCAGAGACTAGAGCAGAAGCCCAATAAAGGCTGGTGACTAACAATTCTCATTCTATTTCAACTAGGGCACCTAGTAACAAAGGCAGTTTCTCTGTAAGTCTTAGCTAGTCAGGACATGAAGTGCTATATAACCAACCTTTTCCAACCTTAACTACACACCTATGTAACATACACCAGATATAAACACACAAATGACAATCCACGTCAGCTGGACAATTCTAACTACTTTTGAAAAGTTGCTAGTAAATTGATAATATTGACAGAAATCTGCCACAAGGATGTTTATATTAATATTTTGGATTAAATCTCCCTAATCTTTGATGTAGAACAGAATATAGTATTTTATTTTATTTATTTATTTTTGGTACTGGGGATTGAACTCGGGTCCTTGTGGTTGTGGGGCAGGTGGCAGAACCACTGGGCTAAATCCCCGGCCCCTAGAATAAACTATTGTAAATAAATGGTACCACTAGATTTCATTATCCTAGAGTTACGTATGTATTAACTTGATCTAAGACAAAAGAATAAACTAAGTCACTAATTTCAAAAGTGGATCCCACTTTTCCCAATAAAAACAACAACAAAAAATCCAAATAAAAGCAGTTTTAATATACAATAGACATTACTAGCAAGAGTTTAGCTGAATTTAATTTATAAAAATTACCCAGTAAGTCAAATACAAATCATGAAGTGGTGTGTATAAAAATCTGAAACAGGGCCAGGGATGTAGCTCAGCGGCACAACACCTGCCTGGCAAGCATGAGGCCCCAAATTCGATCCTGGTACCAAAAACCAACCAAACCAAACCAAACCTAAAAGAGTACCATGTGAACTTAAGCCTTACATGAGCATGTATTTAATATTTTGTTTTGATCTCATAATATTAAAAAAATTATTTAGAGACCACCAGCCCTGAGAACTTTTCAATTAAGCTAAATACTGGTATGAAAAATTTTATTTAAAAATCTTCCCCCAAATAAATTAATATGGTATCACAAGTTAATGTACCAATGCTTTAATTTTGTTTTATCCCCTTTCCCCAATGCTTCCAATAAGAATTCCTGTAAGAGTCACTGTGAAAGCCAATAGGCCGAATTAACCCCCCCAGTCCAGGACTTTATACATGCTAGGCAATGCTCTGCCACTGAACTACATTCCCATTCCTTTTTATTTTATTTTGAAACTAGGTCTAGTTAAGTTGCCCAGGCTGGCTACCAACTTGCAATTTTCCTGACTCCTTTCTTATCTCTCAAGTAGCTGGGATTACAGGCTTCTACCATGCCAGATGATCTGGTTTAAAAACGCTTGAGGATGTTAAATTGGATTCAAAGGCATGTCTTCTCAAAAATATTTTATACTACCATATACTACAGTATACTACTATACAACTATTTTATACTATAATCTGTTCAGATTCTTTTGATAAAACAATGACTTAATAATTTCTTGCTTATTTTATTCATTCTCTACCCCATCAACCATGACCCACCTAACTCAACCATTAAAGATTTGTTCCTGCATATTAGGTGTTCCACCACTTTCTTGCCTCCCCCCTTACAATTATGATTATATATTTCCTAAACTTACTACTTTAATGTCTCTAACCTTTTTTATAACCATTTCTGCTGTTATCTGTATACTGTCTAGTTCCTTCTTTGTCGTCCTGGGAAAACTGATCCCTGACTTGAGATCTCTCTCTTCCTCTGCAAAGACAGATGTAAAGTAACTATTTAGAGAACACGCTATTGTTTCTTTATATCAGAGTAGTAATACTGAAATTTTTTGATTACCTCAAATAATCATTGCTTATAAATTCAAAAAAGTTTGAAGACACATACCTGCATTGTCTTTGCAGATACTAGAGGAATTACTATTCTCATTACTTTGGTATAGGTGCTGAGTTCTGGTCTCTTGGGGTACAGATGATGTTTGAGTCATCCCTTCTTCCAATGCTTGCTTTATCCAGCGCTATAATGAGGGAAAAAAACCAAAGAACTAAATAACCACTGAATCTATTTAGTATGCCTACTGTTTGTTTGTTTATTGATTGATCTGATTGTGGTACCGGGGATTGCACTCAGGACCTAGTGCTTGCAAGGCAGGTGCAGTGCCACTGAGCTAAATCCCCGGTCTATAGTATGCCCATTTTAAAGCACTAACCATGGCATTATACATCAACTGATGACAGACACAATCCCATATATTCACTCAGTCCCATAGTCAAGCCTTGTACTTCAGCAAATTAGGACATTGTCCCATCAATCCCTTCCACTAGGCAAAGTTGAGAAAAATCTCGATAATGAGACCGCATTAAAAAAAAACAAACAGTAAAAATGATTACTATTCAACTTTTGATACTGCTTAGGATAGGGTAAATGGAAAGAGATAAGGAAGAAATTTTCATATTTATTTAACACAGACTCTGGTCATATACAACAAAATACATTAAAATGTGCTAGAGGGGAGATAAAGATCTCTTAAGAATTGTCTGCCTTGTGCTGGGGACATCTGAAAAGGTAAAAGACTCACAGGAAGATATTGGATGAAAATAAGTAACTTCGCTACAGGTACTAGAAGAGTTTAACATATGAACTCCCCACTATCAAGTAGCTTGGTTACATTATGCACAAATAATGCAAATCATAAGAAGAAATGACCTGTAGAAATCAAAAAAGGGAAAAAAGTAAAAAAGATGGCTTCTCCAATTAGTTACAAATTTTTTGGTAGTGACTACAGGAATCTAAATTTATGAGGAATATATTTAGATCAGATAGTAAAGCAAGCCTGCAAAAACTAGGGCAGTAAGATTATGCATCCTGTGGAAGAGAGAAAATTTCTTACCTATAATTGTGTTCTCTTAAGATACACAGTTCTAGTGGCTCACTATTCTGTGGCTCTCCTCCTCCTCTGACATAAGTCAGGTTGAATTTTGATGAACATAAATTTCTTTCTTTTTTTGAGACAGGGACTTACTATGTAGCTCAGACTGGCCTTGAACTCACAATATAGCCCAGGCTGGCCTCGAACTTGTAATTTTCCTGCCCCAGCCTCCCAAGTTCTGGGATTACAGGATAAAGATCAATTTCTGAGTCAGACCATCCACAAATAGGAAGAGCAAAGGTGAATTACAATTTTACAGCTTTAGAAAACATGTATTACAGGTAAGTAGTCTACTTCATCAAAGAGATTACTTCTAATCGATTTTCCCTGTAAGAACTGAGTACATAAAAAAAAGAGATTTCAAGGGTCGCTGTCTAAAACATATTACTGTCCAAGGATATGACCAAGTCTTGAAAAGCCAAGAACAAGAATGAACTCTCTTATGCACAGAATATTGATATAAAGATGAACTTTCAAAACCACACACATAGAGCTTAGAGAGAACTTCTAAAAGTTATTTTGTCCAAAGCACTTATTTCACAGAAAGGGAAAACTAGGGTTGGGAGGACAAAATTGGTAAAAAAAAAATGCTGTGCTACAGATACATTAGTACAAGATTTTCTTCTCAGAGCAGAAAGAACTCATCTGGGATCCCTGAGCTTTCCTTTGAAAGAAATCAATTTTTTATATTTCTAATATCAAGTAGATATAACTATAAAAAATCTGGTAAATAAATTTTAAAAAAGGGAACATAAAGCCAGAATGGGGCATTCTAGGGGTAAGATGCTGCCACGGTTGGCTGTAAGGTTAAATGTCACAGCATGTACTGTATGGTCACACCCATACTTTCTTGGTTTGTAGATGTTTATATTATTTATAAAAGGAATATGAGAAATTCTTTGTGTTATGTTTCAATCAACCCTATGGGTAACAAGTTAATTTTAGATCCTCCCTCACACCTATCCAAATTTTATGTAGAATTAATTTTTCTTTTTTTGGAGACAAGGTCTCACTATGTAGTTTAGGCTGGCCTTGAACGCATTATTGCAGCCCAGACTGGGTTCAAACTCATGGCGATCATCCTGCCTCAGCCTTCTGAGTGTTGGGATTACAGAAATGAGCCACCACATGTGGCTTCTATCTAGAATTATTATTATTATTATTTTTTGGTACCGGGGATCGAACTTGGGTCCTTGTGCTTGCGAGGCAGGCAGCGGAACCACTGAGCTAAATCCCCGGCCATCTAGAATTATCAAAGACAAGACTTCTGTCCCTTTCAAACTGTATTGAAAGAAAAAAGGTTTGTTTTTAGGAGGTCAGAAAAGGGTAACAGAAACGTTTACAAGTGGCCCTATTTTTTTTTTTTGTACCAGAGATCGAACTCGGGACCTTGCGCTTGCGAGGCAGGCTGTGGAACCACTGAGCTAAATCCCCAGCATGAGTGGCCCTATTGTAGGAAGGAGCAAGGAACTAATACAGATTCTGGAGTCCAAAGGATCTGGGTTGAAATTTGGCTTGGCCATTTACCAGTTGTCTTTGTCCAAGTTAGCAAATATTTCTAAACCAGAGCTTCTGAGTCTGTAAACTAAGGCAATAATCCCAACACCACAGGTTGTGGTGAAGGTTAAGTGAGATAACGTATGCAAAGAAAGCAAAGCACTGGGTAAGCCAGATTTTCAATGAGTCTTTTTTTCCAAATAAAGTTGGTATGTTTAAGGATACATGAATTTTAACTCTTCGGTGTATATACTAAAATAGCAATGCAAAGCACAATGTTTCATTATTGGTCTGGCTGGAAATCTGGAAGACTAAATGTAAATGTACTACACATATTAGGTCTAGTAGGTGATTTTATGGAGAACAAGGGAGGATGTGATTGAAAGGCTTTTTGGGTATTTATAAATGCTTCGTTTCTAAAATAATGGTTAAAGTCAGATCTAGAACAAGATACAAAATCATAAAATGCTTTTTGAGAATTATGACTCAATTTCATCTAGACACTCTGGGTGTATCAATAAATGTTCTGACAAATACTCTCATAATCTGTGTACAAACATCCAGATACAATTTAATTTGTCTTATACTATTTTTAACTTATAAGGCCTACCTCCTTTAATCAGATATGGAACAGTGGGCCTATTAGGAATATATAGTGTTCTAACTAATCCTACAAAACATCGGTTTTTCTCATCCACTTGCTTAATATCTTTTGAGGGATTTTCAGAATTTAATTCCAATTTCCTTTAATCTTGGAAATGTTCTTTTGTGTCAAACTAGGTGAGTCTGTTCTCCCACTCTAAAAATATTTATTAGGGGCCAGGGATTTAGCTCAGTGGTTCCGACAACTGCCTCACAAGCACAAGGACCTGAGTTTGATCCCCGGTACAAAAAAAAAAAAAAAAGAAAAAAGTTTCTTCTCCCCACTCAAAATAACACTGACTTACAATTCTGCCCATACAAAGCTGTTTGTTTTATAATATAATCTGGATTTATTTACAGCAAATACGAAAAGAGACATTTAAACAAACTATTTAGACCTAAACTTAAAAGATCCAATTTAAACACAACATTTTTGCTATGATAATTCGGTATCTGTAGCTGACTCCTAACCTCTTCCTGAAGACTGACTATGCCATGTACAAAATTCTTAAGCACAGGTTTTTTTTTGGTACCGGGGATCGAACTCGGGACTTCCTGCTTGCAAGGCAGGCGGCGGAAGCACAGTTTATATAAAACTAAGGATGAGGGTGGTGATATAGTTCAGTGGTAAAAGGCTTGCCTAGTATGTGCAAGGCCCTGGGTTCCATCCCCAGCACTACAAACAAAACAAAACGAAACAGAACAGAACACAATGCTGAACACATAAAAGAATACAAAGGATGGAGATGGTCAAATATATTTGGAGAATTTAATATGGACTTAAGCGTGATCTCTTTCTATCTGATGCCAATGGACATACAACAATGAGCTACTGATATAAACCTTAAATCACAATCAGGGAAAAGAAATGAATTTCCCACCGAATTTGAAGTCATACTTGTAAACATACTTTGGTTTTCACAGGTGTGTTGGATGGTTGGAAAAGCAAGGTGGTAATATGAAAAGATGGTAATCCAGTATCAGAATTTTTAAGAAGGCATATCAAAAGGCTATTTCATATTACAATATATATAGGATTTTGTGAGATAGGGTCTTGCTATATAGTTCATCTTGGCCTTGAACTCACTATGCAGCCCTGACCTCGAGCTTGCCTCAATCCTGCCTCAGCATCCTGAGTGCTGGAGTATGCCACCACACCTGGCTACAACACATTCTTTACTATGAATCTGTATTAATAATTGTTAATACTTTTTCAAGGCCAAAATAGGAGATTCTACTATCTGGTTTGACAGAATGATTCAATAGCCAACAATGTTAGGAACCTAGTCCTATGTACAGCCAAACACAGAACAAAAGAATAAAGTTTCTTTCATAATATCAAATATATTAGCTACCTCTATACCTGATCCTCCTTTAGACTAAAGACTACATCTTTACCCTTTCTAATTTTTTTGTTTTGGTACCAGGGATCGAACTTAGGACCTTGTGCTTGTGAGGCAGGTGGCAGAACCAGTGAGCTAAATCCTCGGCCCTTATCCTTTCTAATTTTTAACACTCCTCACAAAAGTAGTTTAAGATTATGAATTCTTATTCTTACAGAGGGACTGAGCTATGTTAAAAGGTAAAAGGCAGATGTTGTTCAAGTTTTGTAGGCCACATTAGAATTCCAATTATTATAGAAGGTTAAACATAGTGCTTTTCACACCAAATGACACACTATTTTTCTTTTCAGATAAAGTAGTCTAAAGTGACTTAATAAAGTAGACCTCCTTTGTTACCCAGGCAAATTTCCTGTAGAAAACAGCTTTTCAGAAATGTTCTACTATTTTGGTGTCTTTGTTTTTATTTCTGTCACCTGAAAGTCACATGTTATTGCATTATCTACAAACTCTTTTGGCAAGGATCATGGTATCAAATTTTGCTTTAGGATTTCTTCTACTTGCGACTTTCCCTCAACAAACTTGACAAGTAACTCAAATACTCAGGTGAGATGATTAGAAAAGACTCCTTACAGTATGTGGTGTACAGATTCCTGTTGCCCTCCTCCCCTCCATATCCCATACCACTTTGGCTCAACTTTCATGCCCCCCACCCCCCAAGAAATAATTTCTGTTCTTTGGGGAAAGAGAAAAGCTTTAAGTTTGGAGGAGTCAGGGAAGACCTGCCTGGAGTTGGAGACTTCATCACATCAAATAATCTACATGCAGCATCCTCATGTACGTGATGCCAGTGGAGGAGGGCAATGGCAGACACTGAGGAAGGCAGCCTGAATCCAGATCTGAGGATAAGAGAAAAGGATGTTCCAGGGAACAGAACTCTACCTCAAGGAAAGACCAAATGAAAGGGTGTCCTATACTTCTAGAAACACTGAACTGACATTACAGGTTTGAGTGGTCTATTCTTGAGACACACTGTTGAAAAATATGTAAGGCTTCTGGAAATTAAGAGTGCATTCCATAAACAACCAACCACCAAACACTACTACCACTTGATCCAAAAACTAACTAGAGTGAGGAAAGAGAAGTAGAGAGAGAGAGAGAGAGAGAGAGAAAAAAGAGATGGTCCTTCATAGTAGGCAGGTTCTCCATCCTGTTGTCATTTAATCAAGGAAGAGGAATTATGCCAATTATAATAGGCATTTAAACCCCTTCAGGAGATAATAGTGACTGAATTAATTCAAAGCACAAATGGACATGTAAACCAGTACCACAAGAGCGCACACAAAACATATCTTTCCCTAGCCAGTCATCAACTGCTGTGTGCTCTTAGTAACCTCAAGGGCTCTCAGAAGAGATAACAGTGAATACCCACAGTGAAAATTTGAGCACCGAAAATGCAGTATATGTTCAACCTGGCTCCTGATGCACCAGTATTCATGATGAGCAAGGAACTCATCATAAACTCACATGGGTAGAGTGGCTATCTAGAAAATGTGTGAAATGTTATGATTATAGTTATCCTATGTTAAAAAAAACCCAAAACCACGTAAACACAGACATACCTTTTTACAGGAGCTGAATGTGCCATCAGACAGAAGGGGCCTTCGACGCCTCTCAGGCATAAAGGGTGAGCCAAAGCGAATGTAGTGTTTGGGGGTGGTGCAAATTAACGGGGAATGAATAAGACCCGGTAACATGTTCAGGGTTGTTGCCAGTACAGTTGGGTCTGTGGTGATACGTAAAGGGCACTCAACAGGGCACTCTTGCTTCTCAGCTTTGTCATTCAACCATTCTGTAACTAGATACTAAGGTTAAAAAAAAAAATCATTAGTCAATGCTGCTTATATAAAAGCCAGAGGTAGCAGTGCAGTTCACAAAGACAAATCTCATCTAGAAACTAGGACAGATGTAGCAGCTGCAATGAGGATGAATTGGGCATTTAGAATGCAAGGATATCTCTTCCTGCATTCTCTCCATGCCCTTCCTTACTAAGAGAGGAATAATTTTAGCTGGCAATGATTTTTAAGTTCTGCCTAAAAATAAGGGAACAAAAGGTAACAGAATGGTTTTAGCCTTCCATATAAAGGCATTTGTATCTAGAACTAATCTAGTAACACTAAGATTAATTTTTTCCTAAAGATAATAAATAGGTCCTCTTATTTTACTAAAAAAACCAGCACTTAGCAGACTATGCTTATGAAGACGTATTTGTCACTTACCTTTTTGGTTTTGGGGTACTTTGATGCAGCACGATTGACATGGGATCCAGGAACTGATAACAGAGTTAGGTCAGATCCTGTTAACTGTCTGTTTTCTCCTGAACTGTCTAAAATTCCAGCTTCAGTAGGAGCGGCTGAGTTGTTATTTCCTCCCTCTTCCAAGGCAGCTTGTGACAACTCTGCCTGCTGTGCATTGGCCTGCTTCTGACGCTTTAGTCTTTGGGCTGAACTGGTCCGGTACCGAGAAATTCGACTCTTCGGTCGGGGCCTAGAAGGCTTTGCTGGAGGTGCTTTGGGGAGTGGTTTTTCTACAGCCACATCCTGTAACAACATTCGGGTCAAAAATGCTGACCAGAAATTTCATACTAGAAACATTCCCTCTATTTTCCTATTCATCTTTTTTGGAAAACTTATTCATTTTTAAGTCTTTTTTTTTTTCGGTACTGGGGAATGAACTCAGGACCTTGTAGGAAGGCAGTGGCACCACTGAGCTAAATCCCTGGCCCATTTTTAAGCATTCTCAAAATTGCTACTGGTGAGAAAACAACTTAGAAACACTCAAATAAATGTAATCCTTAAACAGAAACATACATTTAAATACCAGCTAGAGGTTGAGCTAGTTAGATATCTGGGTCATTTCTAATAAGCATCTATAAAATAAGCCCCTCCTCCAACTATCAGCAAAAGATGGTGTCACCTCATTGTAGAATTCTTAGTAGGGAAGAGAAATTGCTCATGTATTTCTTTCCCAGATACTGAGATTTCAGCATTACATTCAAGGCTACGGTAGGGAAGCTCAAGACAGGTTTATCTTGACAATCCTATAAAAGGTCAGCTACATAAGTGAGCTACAGAGAAGATTTGTAAGAGAAACCAAATGATTTTTTGTGTGTGTGCATGTGGGGTAGGGACTGAACCTGGGCCTTCGCACACGTCAAATGCTCTACTACTGAGTTTCATTCCTGGCCCAAAATCATTCTTTTTGTTTTTGGAGATGGGCTCTTGCTAAGTTGCCAGGGGTTGGTATCAAACTCTTCCTGCTTCAGTCTCCCCAGTAGCTAGGATTATAGCTGTGGGCTCCCGAAAGATGTTTTGTTTAGTTTGTGGTGCTAGGAATTGAATCTATGGCTTTGTACGTATCAAGTAAGCACTCTTCCACTGAGCTAAATTCCTAGCCCTCCCAAATATTTTTATGAACTTGCTACCAACAGTTTATCTGGCAGAAACAGTACCAAGCTCCATTCCAGCCTGAAGGTGTTTAGTCATTTAAATTCTGACTTGTCTCTTTGAATCCCAGGAATCAGCTAATGAAGATGTTAAACTGCCTTATTGTGATATGGGGCAAAGCTGAAAATACCAATTTTAACTATTATAAAAGATAGGGTAAAAAGTCTTTTCTTCTCTTACCCCTGCTTGGGAAGACCTCCGAGTATTTACACCAATATTCTGTGGGGTACTTGGGATGGAAATGTTTGAAGCAGTGTTGCTAACTTCAGACTCAGGGGATTCAGTTTTTGTTTCTTCTCCAACAGGAGTTTCTGAAGTGGTAGTAGTAATTTCTATGTCTGGGGTGCTCTGCTCTAAGGGCTGATCCCGCCGTTTCTTTCTTTTCTCCAAGTTTTCAAAAGCATGAATGATGGCCTCAACCTTCTTGTCTTCCCGGGTCTAGAAAGAAACAGCATTAACATAGAGAGAAGTTTCAACAGGGGATAGCCACTTCAGATGTATTATGATTGGAAATTTACAGAAACTCATTTAACTACCAGTAAGATGATACACACATACTTGAGAACATAAGACCAAAATTAAAAATATTCCACATAAAATGTTGGGAACAATTGTAAAAGAAAGCAAGAGTAAGCCTACACTTTTTTTCCCCAAAAGGTCAGCTATTTTGAAATTTTTTAATGTAAAAGAAAAATAGCCCTCACAACCATTTTTCTGCATGTGTTTTGGAGCTCAAAAATCAAATGAATTGTCCTTGAACTTTCCACGAAAAAAAAAAAAAAATACCATTTACTGGGGATTTAGCTCAGTGTTTCCACTACCTGCCTAGCAAGAGCAAGGTCCCAACTTCAATCCCCGGTACCAAAACCAAAACCCAAACCATTTAGTTTCAGCATAAAAGTAAACTATTTTAATCCACATGACTAAAAGGTATTTTAAAAAAAAGAAAAACAAAAACAATGCAAACCAAGGGAATCCCTAAGCCAGAGCAAAATAGTCCATGCACTTTGAATACCCAGTTTTTAGAAAATCAGACTGCTAAAGAAACTTCTTCAAGTCACCACTAACTAAAAGACTACACCAAACAATGTGCAGAAAAAGAAATAAAAATTGTAATAAATTCTACCTGATAGAAAAAAGCCCAAACTATAATCTTTAGAGGAAATAAATGAGATGGTAGGGGAAGAGAAAGGTTCTCAGGTTAGAGGGAGCAAAAATCAGAAAAAGCAAAAGGATATCAATTGGTACCCACCCTCCTGCTATGAGCTGGGTTCTCCAGGTCCTCTGTAACCTCTTCTTTCTCTTCTTCTGGTTTTTCGTCTGGATTGTCTACCTCCTTTAAGATAGAAACAATATAAAGTTATACTTTCACACTCTTGGGGAAAAAAATTCAACTGTTTTATTCCGATAGGCTGAAATGCTTTAGAAATAATTTCTAGTGCTTTACAGCATTATTCATGTGAGGCCACATGGCAAACACAGACGCTAACTCTCATTCAGTAGATTGAAATCTGGAAAATAGCTGAAAGGATGTTCTATGTTCTTCTTTGGTGATGAGGATCAAACCGGGGCCTCGTGCATGCTACACAAGCAGATCTACCACTACACTACTGAAAGAATGCTCTTAATTTTGTAAAACAAAATGAACGAATGCATACCTATGTCAACACATAGAGCATTAAGCATTACTACAGGGTCCCCAAATAAGTGGCAACACAGAAACTACTAGAGAAGTGGTGGTGACCCTATGGGACACATGCCACCATCAGGCTATTTGTACCCGAGAGCTCTAAAAGGCTAGCCATTGCTGTACTAGAGGATCAATACTATACCACCATCATTTCACCAGGGGAGATTACCTGATGATCACTGGATGCATTTACTTTTTCTGGAACTTCCTGTGGTTGCTGGTCATTATTCTCTTCTGTAGCCTCGTTCTGCTGCTCCATCTCTAGTTCTTTCCGCCGTGCTTTTCTACGTCTAGTCTCTGCCCCAATGGTGGGTAGGTTTGGAGGAGGTGGGAGTGGAAGTTCTGTAGCATTGGGATTTCTTTTCTGTATAGGGCAATTCCGGTTTCCCTTGTGACATGCACAATCCACTTTATAATTACTGCTCCAAAGAAATAACCAAAAAAGCTTGTCTCAGTATTCTTGAAATTCAGGTATATTATCCATTCATTCTATTGAAATATCAGCATAGAAATTTCTTGTGTTATCTTTGAATAAGTTGACAAATTACAGAGTCCCTACAAATGCTTTTAATATTGCGTTTCTTTGTATACCCTCAACTCCAGGTCTATACATAGTCAGTGGAAAGGAAAATTCAATTCCCCCATTTGCCATTTGCTTTTACAGTATATAGTAGGCAGTGAATCCAGGATAGAATATCTGACATGATCATACTCACTGTCCTCACTTTCACTGAATTCCTTGCTTATTAATATTCTTACTTAATGAAATTCAACGCATACTCATCTATAGCTATTTGTTTTACTGTACTGTCATATACGGCTAGATTACATGTTTTAAATGGATGAGGTTAATCTTAAACAGTCTCCTCCCTGAGCATTATTATTCTTATTTTTTGGTATCTGGGATCCAACTCAGGACCTTGTGCTTGTGAGGAGGGTGTGGCACCACTGAGCTAAATCCCTGGCCCTCCCTGAGCATTATTAAGATGTGAGTGACAGCTACTTGGGATGCTGAGGCAGGAGGATCTCAAGTCCAAGGCTAGCCTGGGCAATATCAGCAAGATACTCACTCAAATACAAACAAAAAAACCACCAAACAGAGTAGGGGATTTAGCTCAGTGGCACCGGACCTGCCTTGCAAGCTCAAAGTCCTGAGTTCAATCCCCAGTACCACCCCCCCAAAAAACCAAAAACCACCGAACAACAATAACAAACGTTGTAAATGACAAATAAGAGGATCACAAATTCAAGACCAGCCTGGACAACACAGTGACTTGGCAAGATCTTATCTCAACATAAAATAATAAAAAAGGGCTGGTGATGGCCCTGGGTTCAACTCCCAGTACTTAGCATCAGCACCACCACCACCACCAAAAAAACCCCCAAACCAACAAAAAACCCAACCAAAACCCACAAAAAATAAAAAGTCCATGAATGACCATCATTGTTAAGACTACCATACAATGATATAATGTGCCTAAATCTCTGAAAAACAAAAAACACTTCAGGTGATTTTTCTTCATAATTTCTAGGCAGAAAACACATTATTCATGAAAAGATTAAGCAAGGAAAAAAATGGCAAGGAAGAAAAGTAGATTTTAAATAGAAATGAACAGCTTAATATTTAAGACAAGTCCATTCATGTTGGGAGAAGTTTTTGAGGTCTTACCAGTTACTGTACTCATAATCAAATGCAATAGTGACTTCAGCATCCTTGGTGATGGCAGACACAGCATAAATACATAGGTGAATCATCCCATCTGCAATCATGTGTCGCACCTGTGTGAACAAAGCTTATGATTAGATTTGTCATAAAGACTAAATTTTCCACAAAAGGGGAAAAAAACCCTTTTACTCAAATCATCTCTCCCCATTTAGTGTTACAGCAGCATGCTGTTTAGCCTGATCATCATATATAAAATTATTATACACTAAGAGCCTCAATACTTATGATACTTCTTGAAAAAGAGCAATCTTGAGATGCAAGAAATCAGGGTAAATCACTGTGGTTCATCTTAAAAGTGTTTCTAGCTCCACCAGAGAATTAAAATTCCTTTAAAGCTCTGTGGGTTTTCTTATACCAAGTAATGAATTCTATAACTGTCCAGAATCTCTTTAACAACACTGTTTCCTAAAACCTATAAAAGTGAAACCAAATAGCTCAGTTGAATCCAATGACATTTTCTATCACGACCATTTCTTTAATATAATTTTACTGACTTTTATCCAATTTAAGCTTTCTTTCAGTAAATACTAACATACTCTTTCCCCTGCTGCATCTGCTACAGAAAATCCACTCCTTGCTCCTATCCTATTAGTATAAAAAATGCATCATTACATTTTTCCCCCTCTCTTGCATGAAAGATCACAACTGTTAGCTACAGACCTTTATCTGGGTGAAATTTTCAGACTGCTTCTTCAGTAAACCTGTCCTTTGGTGATTCCATTCAAATGAAGTTTCTACAGATATCTTACCTCTGCATTTGGTGTACATGATCTTCTGATGAACCGAGCATCATTACCGAAAGTACGGGCATCCACACACATCTCTACACCATTGAATTTTGAGTAGAAGAGCACAAAGGGATATGGTCTAGGGATATAATTAAAATTCCTGTAATTCTCAACACAAACAAAAAGGCAACCCCATGATTCCAACTATAAAGCATATGCTGACAGAAGTAGCAAGAGTCCTTTGCAATGCCTAAACTTGGAAAATATCACATGCTTGTCTGGTTTTCATTAAAGAACAAGCACAAAGCAAGGAATGCTGGACTTGGAAAGGAGTTGTTACCACTTTACACATTAAGTAATTTACAGATTTGCGTATCTCTGCAAATAGCTGATAGGCATGAGCTTATTTGAGTTTTTTGTCTCAAGAGTAGCCTATTAACTAGGATGAGTTTTACAGCAATACTGGTCAGCTAGAATGATGTTAACCCTCACTGCTCAAGGAATGACGTTCTTACTTTTTGAAGAAATGTCCATTGACCTCAAATTGCTGTCGCAACATGACTTTCCCACGATACTCTATGATAAGAGTGTCCAAAGCCAGATCTCTTGCAGCCCTCAAAATTTTTCGGTGCTTTTGAACTCGAGTGACTCTTCCCAGCTGTAACTGAATAAAACCAGGGTATTAACATCAAATAACAGCAAGAACAGCTTAGTAGACATTTAGAATATTTCACAACTGATGAAAAGGTACCAACATTTTTAGGTTTTATCTATGCATGTCATGTAGCTCAATGAGCAGAAAAATTTCAATTTGACACAAACCCATTTTTTCTAGGAAATATGCCATCTAGTGAACCTGCCACCTACAAAAGAGAAGGCAAGATCAAAGAACAACATATGTCTAAGATTTTAGTGGCTCTGTGTATAAAAATGAGATTAGCTTTCTATAAATCTTTCACAATTGGTTCCTAGGCTAATTTTCCATCCTAATTCATTTACTTTGATTAATATAGTTTAAAAAAATATGTATCCAGATAATTTACAGTTAATATAAACTGCTTTTTAAGACGATCAACAGTTGGCTAATCTGATAGTCTAAGGCCTCTCACATTTGGAGGAAACAGTAATTTTAATTCATTTCCTCTTCCTGGATTCTAAAAATCTCAACTCCTTAGCCTAACACATTTGGTCCTTACCTGCATTTGTGAACCAATAACGGTATTATTACAGGCCAATTCAGTCTTATTAATAGTGTCTAAAATAGCAGGCTTTCCCACAAATTCTTTGCTAGAATGTAGATGTTGTTCAAGGGCATTTTGAACATCTGCACTGTACTGATTAGTGAATGCTTCTTCATACTGATCAGTCCATAGTCTTATCCGATTTTCCCAGCCCTCAGTTGTATTCTCATCTAAATTCTGTGCTTCAGATGGAGAATTCTGTAGAGAACAAAAGTCAGGTAGGTTAGCAGAGTCCATGCATGAAAATGCACAGGACAGAGGGGATGAGGAGGAGGCTGAATTTCCAAAGAAAAAATTTGTTTTCACTGTGGCATAAAAGAATAATGGACTGGGAGTCAGGAGATCTGGCTTTTATCATAGTTTTATTACTCATGAACAGTGAAGTCTTACACAAGCTATTTAAAGCAAGGATGCTCCATCTCCTCATTTATAAAGTAAGAAAATAATCTAGGTCACTGTTGCATCCTATCACCTATTTTATGACCATTTTAAACTCAAAAATAAAATCTGTTCTTATCAGGAGAATAAAATCAGTTCATAAAATTTTTATAAAAAGGAATGCTATAGATACTTTGAGTCATCATATTGCTTAAATGTTCAATATTTATTAAACTCATCTGTGTCAGTGTGCTAGGACAACTTGGTTTGTTTTATTACTCTCTAGGAGAATAATTTTGTTTCTGTGCCACTTATTTCATTAAGTAATATTTGTTCATTCTAAATATACATGTGATCTCAATCAATCAATCAATCAATCATAATATTATCATCCACAGAAAAAGTTACCATTTTGGAACATAGTTTTTAAGAACTTTACTTTAGACAATTTATATAGTTATATTCTAAATAATCTGAAGAGATTTGGTGTGAAGAGGGGAGTAGGGAGAGGTAACAGAAAAAATATCTGAGAGCTAGGTACTTTGCTACAGTCCTCTGGGAAAAGTATTGCCCTCTATGGTGACAATACTGAGGGAAGATTATTATATCTTAGCAACAGCATCTTGAACAGTTTCGTATCACTCTACAGCTTGAGCGACAGAGACAACGCTTAAGTCTGACACGTTCTCTTCAGTGGCATTTAAGGCTTAAGGTGACACTAGAAAATAAACACTGGTAGTGATGACTAAAAGGATAAGACTTTGTAGTAACCAATGCTGCCAGAAAATCCACGTCCAAACTAAAGTTCCAAAAACAGGCATACCCAAATTAAATATACTTTCCAAGAATGGCACAGGAAACACTGATGCCTATGGTAATAAGTGCTTCCTTTTACCACTTTGCATCATTGTTGTTGATTAATTGCTGTCTACCATCCCTTCCCCAAGAACAGGAAAACATAAAACAAAACAAACACCGTCCCCCCCAAAGTTAATACCATATTTTTCAGCCTTTTCACTAGAATCTGAAAGACTGAATAATTAAGGGGGGACTAAGAAACACCCAAAACCAACACACCATGAACAGAATACTAGCTGTTAGACATCACAAGCAGCAGTGGAGCAAAAGGATAGTGCAAAGCCTGAGACTTAAGTGTGCTTGTAAGACTGAGATTAAGAGTGTACAAATAGTATTCCTAGATTCAGCATCTAGTATCAATCACGAAACTTCTGAGTTGTTAAGTTTTGTATTTTGGAAGCCTATGCCATAGTATTAGACATTTTTTACTAATCTCTCTTTATTTTCTTTTTATTGGGAGGGGGGTACTGGGAATCAAACTCAGGACCTCACACTTACCAGCAGGCGCTGTAGCACTGAGCTACACCCCCAGCCCTCTTTTGGTTTGAGACACGGTCTCATTACGTAGGTTAGGCTGGACTTTAAGTCACTATGTACCCTAGGGTGGTCTTGAACTCACAGGGATCCTCCTGGATCAGCCTCCCTGAGTGCTAGGATTACAGGTATGCACCACCCATGCCTGGCTTATTTTTTACTGATCTGACTGTGTTTACTCTGCAGTCCCATCATCCTTCAGGGAAGTGGAGACTCCACCTCAATGGGTTTACAGCAGTGGTTCTCAACTGGGACCAATTTGCTCTCAGAAGACATTGGGTAATACTGAAGAGATCTTGATTATCACAACGGTGTGTGCGCTGCACTAGCGGGTAGATGCCAGGGATGAAGCTAAATATCTTCAAATACAAAGGACAATCCTCCCTTACAATACAGAATTAGTTGGTCCAAAAATGTCAATAGTTTAAAGAAACAGTTTAGAGTTAAGTCCCTAGTAGGGAAACTCTTGGCTTTCAGATGAAAAATCCAAATGATGAAATCTTCCCAGTCTTATAGATGCCATCTGGATTGATGGAGTTTTAAAATTATAACAATCAAACAACTAATATGGAATGGGGTGTGTTTGCTCTAAATTTTAACATGTCTGTGGGCAGACAACCTCCTGAAGCTGTACAAAATTTGAGGTTCAAGTGAAGTTGTGTGGGAAAGCCAGTTGATAGCTTACAAAAGGTTTTGAAACTCTGAGAATAAGTTATAGTAATTGATAAAAACGAAAAAGGCTTTGCAGCTGGGATCAGGGTTATATTTGCTCCTGAAAGTCTATTTAGGACCCCTTCTTAGCAAAGTCGGGTGGGGTGGGAGTTAAAGCAAACTTGGTCCCCTGCAAGAGATAGGCTGACAAGCAAAGAATTTATGAATAAGTTGTGTTCCAGAACACAGCCCAGGCCTCTGATGCTCTGTGTGGCACTATGTTCTCTCCCATCTACACAAGGCAAGGCCTTTAAACTTTAGATAAAACATCAATTGTAATGTTTGATAACATGAGTTATACTGGTGCATCACATTAAATATAAAGTAATCCCAATACAACTTTCCCTCTCTGTAGACTTTACGCCATGTATCTGTCAATAGGAGAGATCCTTCTTTTACATCATGTATACATTTAGGGATACAAACACTCAAAGAACTTAATTCTAAGTCCTTTGAAGCCACAAGTAATGATCTGGAAAGTATGCTGTCTTCTTTCCTATATAGACACAGGTAAAAGAAGATACCACACAGTATAATCAAATCTCCTTTTAGCAAACTTTTTATTGAGTACCTAACAGTCCTTTTAAAATATTATACATAAATCATCTATTCTCCAGTCTCTTTACAAAAGCATGCCTTATAAACTTATTGATAACTGAAGAAACACACACATACGTTTTCTCTATCAAACAGGAATAGCAAGAAAAAAGTCTGAAAGAAAACCATTCCCAATAGCATTAATTCCTATCAGTAACACGACTTTCTTGCTCCGGAGTTAACCTTACAACTGCTGAGTAAAGCCCGTGGTACTATGATGGGTACACAAGAGATCCTGTATCATTACCAGAAAGCCCCTACTCTTGAAGTGGAGCCCAATCACAGTGACAAAATATTAGCAGTCTCATTTTGTTTGACAAAATGTCATGTGTCCCCCCAGAAAAGCAGGCAAAGAAAAACCAATAAACAAAGGCTGATTACAGAAAGGAAAAATGTTTCAGAAAATGGCTAAGAAACTCTACCTTGGAAAAAAAGCTCTGTGAAAACTGAATGGCAACAATTACAAACTAATAAAAAGCAGATTCCAAGATTCCCAGACCATCAATGTCAGGAAAGAAGCTGACCAAAATGCAAGATCACAGTGAAGTAAAATACAGCAGCAGGGAAGAGTACCCCTTACCTTCATCCGCAAGGACTTCCGGGATCCCTCTCGAAATGCCTATCCCAAAGAGGAAAACAAGTAGAACAAAACAAAACTTGGTACCAAGAATGACAGTTATACCTATCTGAGACTAAAACTAAGGGATGAGCTAGAGGTTCTATTCTGTCCCCTTTCTCTGCATAACAAATACAATGGAATTCCCCAACCTATTATCAAGAATAGGGATAGCTCAAGGCCAGAGAGCTCTGAGACTCATTCTAACACTTTCCATCATGGAACTAGGTAACAGGGACAAGCATGCACCACTGAAATCCTATGTTTGTCCTGACACTGAGAGAAAAAGTAGATTAAAAAACCTTATGTTGCAGATTTATCAGTTTTGAAATTAAGAAGGAAACAAAGACCAATCCCCTTAACAAGGGGTGGGCAAGTCACCTAGGAGCAACAAAGTTGCTGTGATGGGGAAGAAAGATCACAAAACAGAAGAGGTTTCTCCTGGAGACTTTTTAGTTGAGAATATAGGAAAGTGACCATGACATTGAGGAAGCTTAGACCATTCAAGAGATGTTTCCTGATGGGGGGGGCGGGGGGGCGGGCGGAGCAAGGAAAAACAATCCAATGACGAGGTGGGCATGTGCCAGGACAAGAGTTTTGGACTGCTTTTAAGTCTCCAGGCAGGGAGACACTGTGAGGAGAGTGGAAGCCTAGACTCAGGCTGCAACACATGCCAGGCAGGGCTGGAATTTCATACCTGGGAGGGGGGCTGGAGTAGAAGAAACTTTGAGCCAGTAGTGATGGTATGGTGTGGCAGAAGAGAGGTTGGTCTACATGTACATAACACAGATTAGCTGATTTTTGCAAGTAGAGCAAAAAATGGTCCTTTAAACATCTGGTTCAAACTTCTTGAAAGAGTTCTGGTGTACTCTTTCTCCAAAATTTGAGCTATTTCAGACATATTTCTATATAAGACCTTTTAACCCTCCATACCTTGATCTTCTTCGTCTTTGGTGCTGCACGACCCTTTTCTGGACTCTTTTTTCGCTTTTTGGGTTTGGTTCTTCTAACAGTTAAGGTGATGCTTGTAGGTGTGTGCTGTGTTGCTGTATACAACACAGTGGAAGGAGAAAGCTCCTCATCCCAGCTTTCTGTTGCACTGCTATCCCCACCTGAAAAAAGGTGATTTCATACTTCATGGATCATCAGCCTCAAAAGTTTACCAAGAGCAGTTTTTCCCTTTAGATGTGCCCCATATCCAGTAAGTCATTATCTTCCACTACCAACTCTAATCATCTTGATACCTTTCTCTATGAAAACAAGATCTTTTTCTATGCCACCAGCATTAAATATACAAACTATTCTACACTGTATCTGTTTCTCCACTTGTATCCAGACCTGTAGCTTCAATGTTCCTCTATCTGTAACAATTTGAGACCGAATAATTTAAAGAGGGATGTTTGGGACAGTTCCCAGAAATACTTTGATTGCTACAGAACAGAAATGCTGTTTCCATATACATCTAATTTCTAATGACAGACCCATATAGTGATATTGAGAGGATGCCTATCTCTTTCCATGAAAAAAAGAGCTGAGGTCCATGGTAACTTTGAGAACATTTGAGTCACACAATATTTACATGTCACTCATTTTCTGCTCACCTGATATGTTGTCCTGCTTCCGCCGATGAAGTCTAATAACCTTCCCCCTGCTCATTCCCCTAAAGAGGGAAAATAAACTTAAAGTAGTCCTTCCAACAGCATGCAACACATCAAAGCACATTTGGGAGAAGTGTCTCTGCATATTCTACCCCCTCCCTCCCACCTACCAAATGTTTCCAGGACATTAAATTTCATATCAAATTCAATAGCTTTAACATCAATCTCTCATTCCTTGTTGTCAGCAATTCTCACCTAGTGCAGAGAATTCGAGCCAAGGAGCACTAACGAATCATCTACATTAACAAACACAAGAAAGAATACTTTGAGCTTTTCCCTACTAATAAGAAACCCTACTCCCAGCAACCCAGGCTTGCTTTTCATGGAACAGGATCTTACCTGCACTTGTCACAGTTGAGAAGGAAGCCATCCTGAGAAAGACCACAAGGACACCAGGTAGGAACAGTCTCTCCTTCAGAGTTCGGGCTGTCTCCACAGCGTTCCTCTACGGGCGACGGCAGGCCATTCAGGTCAGAACGAGGGATGATCGTCTGGACAGGGGGAGAAGCAGGAGGTGTCGGAGGAGGAGGGGCTCCGTAATTATGATCCTGAAAATAAGATTTTTTAAATCAACAGTGTCCAAACACTGGCCCCTCTCTCCCCTAAAGTATGGTACATATGGAAAGAAAGAAGAAAGTAGTACCCTTTGTTTTTTGGCTTCAACCAGGAAAGTGATAAAACAAAATGCCAAGGTCAACTGGGACATAAAAACAAGAACAATGATGCAGGGCTAGACGTCCGCTGGAGGCAGGGAAGTGCAAAAGGGGCAACTTCGTCATGCTGCATATAAATATTTCAAGAAAGTCACAATGTATAAGAATGGATTACACTCCAGGAAGATCACTGCTCTGGAGAGAAATGAATGCATACTCACAGCATAAGGCAGTCCTCGACACCCATGCCTCTGAGTGGTCCCATAATTATGAGTGGAATACACGCTCTTCTCATTAACTGCTGGACTAGCCTCCACAGATTCAGGGCTGCACAAAGGCGAAAAGCAATGCATGATAGCATAACACCTAATCTTCCCTTCAACTAACAGTTCACTTCCCATTCTAACCCCTCCTCTTTCCACAACCACCAGCCACTAGAATAAGAGAAAAAACTCAGTGAAACAATCTGATTAACATAACTAAGCCTATAAATAACAGGAAGAGTGTTACTGAATGTGAATTTGTGTGTAACATGAAGCCAGTACAGGCAGATGTCTCAAGGCAGGCACCTGGGATACAAGGTGTCCCTAATGACAAACACAAACGTACCAGCTGAGCGGGGAGTTTCCCCTAGAGAAGCCACTCTGGGCTGGTTTAGACTCAGAACTATTCTTCTTAATTGGATCTCTTAATACTTCCATGAAACCTCACATGACATTTGCAGTGAGTGAGATGATGAAAGTGCCTTCTGCACTGCCCCAGGGACCAGGCCCTCTTCCATTCACTACCAAGACAGGATACCCTGAAGAAAGTACAGGTAAAAACAATGGCATCTTATATTTATCACACCTCTCATCGTGACCAACCCCCAAACACCTTTCACATATTAAGAGTAGTAACTTCTCACCCACCAATGACATGCAAGCATATCGAGGGAACAATTATTTAATAGCTGCATGGTAATAATCATAGGACTTCAAAATAATTCTGAGCTCAGAAGTTATATTAGTCTAGTTACAAATAATAACAGCAGTAACAGCTATTGAGTTGTCTATTACTTGCTATATATATATATATACACACACACACACACTTACACTCATTTAATTTTGTAACCATTAAGCATGGTGAACAGCACCTCATTTTTGTTTTGTTTTTTTGGTACTGGGGATCGAACTCGGGACCTAGTGCTTGCAAAGCAGGCAGCAGAACCACTGAGCTAAATCCCCGGCCCCAGCACCTCATTTTTACTGAGGGGAAGTCAAGGTGGTGAGATTATATGGCTTCTCCAAGGACACACACTGAGAGAGCCAGGATTTAAACCATGTATGACTCCAAAGCCTATACCCTTTACACTATGCTTTATTTGGAAAACAGGGTAACATTCTACTTTTAAAGAAAATGATTCAAGATCTTTATTAAGCAGGTTTAGTGAGAAGCTTGGTTTAGAATCTTTTTGTATCCTCAGTGAGTGGAAAATAAATGATTCAAGCACAATTTATTATTATAAAAGATTTATAAATGTATTCTAATTTAGAAATTTAATGTAAGCCTTTATAATAAAAAGGCATAGATGGCCAAGGATAAAATGCAAATGTTTTGAAAAAAGAACATCAATTTTAATAGTTACTTGGTTAAGTTCTAGGGAATTTTGAAAAATAACTAAAGAATGTAACTGTATAACTTGACAGAACTGAAAATAAATTATCTGTAATTTATATCAATTAGTACAGAGACACACAGATTAGAAACTCCAAAGACTAGTATAACTCAAATTTAGAGATCAGTGGGCTTTTCAAAGAGAATCCAATAATGCATACTGTTTGCTCAAAATAACAGACATTTTTCCTGCTCCAAGAAACCCAGACTTTCAGCAGGAAAAAAGTATACAATTCAATGTGGCGCATCAGTTGAGAAGTGAGGGATAAAAGAAAATTCTAAGATATATATCCAACTCACCCAGTTTTATGTTCCAAAACTGTGAGAAAGGATCTTATTAATAGCAGCAAAGGTAATTTCTGGGTGAAGAACTTCAGACATAAGAGAGTATTCTGTTAGTGATGTGCATGCACTGTCTGCAAGATGGGAACTGGGAGGGGGTTACATCAAGAATGCAGGTCAGTATTCTTGAGAAAAAGATGATTCGAACATGGCACACTGGGAGGCAATCAGCTTTGAATATTAGGAAACGGGTGGGGTTTCCTAAATGAAATCAAAGGCAGACAAGGATTAATAAAATGAAGATAGAGTTTAGTTTCTATGATGGGCAGTTAAAAGAAAGTAATGAATTTATAGTTAATCTACTAGGTACACTACTAGATAAACAAATATTCCAAAGAGCTGTACTTATTTTATATAGGAGATCTTGTGCCTTTAAACATATGGAGTGAAACACGATGGCTGTTTATTAGAAATGGATTTTTTTGGAGGGGCGGCAAAAAGGAAAGTTGGATGAAATAAGTGGCCATGGAGATGGAGTTATGTTGGTTATATCTTACCCATCTCCAAACTGGGTAAATATGAACATATGCACTTCATGTGCAAGTCTGGGGAATAAAAATAAAATGTATATTGTGGAGGTTAACAGGCCATGCTACTGCACAACACTTTCTAGTCAAGCACAGCATTTTAAATAAACTGCTATGCAACTTATTTATTTATTTATTCATTCATTCTTTTGATGAGGAAATTGCAATTTTCATAATTGGTTACTGCTTAAATATATAGTTAGGTATTGATGGGTAACTACAGGATTTCCTAGACTGTTCCTTGACATACGTTTCAGTTTTTAGGTATATTTTGAAATATGGATTAAAATTTTGGAGTATTAGGATTGCATCTCTTTATTAGCCAATTTAAACAACATAATTATAGCTTTTCTTCTATGATCAAATTTCTATGACAGCTGGGCATATACACGGAAAACAGGCTCATAACAGATATACTTTATCAATTATGTTCAAAGTATCACAACTGCTACTATACTGTTAAACTGTTGGAACGTGACTGGAATAACGGGAAGCAATGGAAATTCATAAAAATTTCCATTTCTTTTGTTATATTTATGTTTTCCTATAAGTACAGAAAAAAATGCATATTGCAGTCATCAGATTTCAATTTCCTGAGGTGAGGTCTAGGTCTTTTATTTGGTTGAGTATGGTGCCCTTAATACCTAGTTTAATCTTAGAGTAGCTGTAATAGTGGGATAGGCATGATGAAACATAGACAAATACTGTTAATAATTTAAGAGAACAGTACATGAGTTCGTTATTGATATTCTCTACCTTTGTAGAACTATTAAATGAGTAACGGTGAAATTAGTTGTGACCATGGTATCAGAAATCTGTGTAGAGGTTATGAATGAAAATGTTCAGGAAATCCCAGAATATGACACCATGCTCAAATTTGTAGACCAGCATACTTTAATTTCTGAAATCACTTCTGAACTCCCCAGCAACATTTATGGGCAGTTATTGCTCTACTATGAGGAAAATATCGGCTACAGTAAAAACTGTTTTGGGTCTTTTTTGTATCTACTAACTCTAAACTTACCAGTTTAAATTCTTTGCTCAGATTTTTCTTAAATGCTATCCAACTACACAAACCGTTACTATATCGTAGCACCTTAATAGCTGACTTTTATAAAAATCTATAAATATTATACAACTTTCTACTAGTACAGGAAGTATTTTAAGTATTACTTTGGGGAAACAGATTAAAACTGGAAGTCTTAATGGCATAACTAAATCGCTTTCGCATGCAAAAAAAAAATAAAAGAAACAGAATAAAAAACCCTAAAAGAAACACAAACCACCCTGCCCCCACCCCCCTTCCTTTTTATATAGGGATAAGCTTGAAAACTGCTTTCAATTCCAGATTACCTCAGATTATATACTAAATCTTAGGGTAGCTTTATTTTAAGTCTTCTTTCTTACTTAAGAAATTCAGTAAGCAGACAAGTTAGCAATAGGTGGATTTATGAAGAAATATACATGCTCTTTAATAATATCCTAAGTTTTAAGGAAGAAAACCACTATTAATGAGGGATACCGTCCAACACAGAATTCTAGTACAGTTGCTTTGCTTAGCTGAAGGGGAAAGAATTCCGAGGGACTGTGAAAATGGCAAGAGAAACGGGGGAATTAGAGCAACACCCACCTCACTCAAGAAGTGGCTGTGGGATCAAGAGTCTGAACTGGACCTGAACATATTCAAAACACCAGGATTTCTCCAGCCCAGACCCTAATCCCTGGTACTGCCTGGAATAGACTTGGCTTCTGGGGGTGTGCTGCCCCCTAGGCCCCTTGGGTCTCTTTCGCTGGACTTTCACATCCTGGTGTAGTGCCACTTCGTCTTGAAAGGTAGGGGGCTTCCACTTCCTTTCTGTAAGCAAGGAAGATTGGGTACAAGGGAGGTAAAGGACAAGAGGGGGAATCTGTGAGCAGGGGAATCTTGGACAACTTAAAAGAGAAGGGATACAAAAGGCTAAAAATTTTAAAACTGTGAATAATATATAAAGTTGTATAATGAAGGCCTACCTTCATTGTCATTTGGCATTTAAATTCTTCAAGAATTGAGAGTCTATTTTAGGGATTAGGCTTTTCGACAAACTCTGAATTCCTAAAGCTGCTCTTAGCTGAAAAAAAAGTTTGGTACCACTGATTCTGAAGGTCCTCTTTCTAGGCAATAAATATATAAAGAAACAGGTGATTCTGCTTTCCATTTTTCTATCTCAAATGTGAGAAGGTCTAAGCAACCATATAAAGCCCATATAAAGTTTGAGCCCCTTTACTCTTGAACAGTGGGAAGTACATAGGAAGAGGCCTTCAAGGAAAATCAGTTGGAAGGAACACTCCTTATCTCCCACCATTAATCATTACTTCTGTAGAAGCAGGCAGTGACACCCACTTTATTTCAGTCTTCCCCACCCAACAAAGCAAAGGAAAATGTAATTACTACTTTGAAACTGATTGTATTATTTACCCAAAATCCCTCCTTAAAAGCTCCTTTCCTCCCCCCTTGTAATTCCCCCCCCCAAGCTTCTATGGGAGAAAAGGGCAAGGTCTAAGGTCATTTATAGTGGGACAGGTTTGGGTAAGAAAATACTACAGTATCTACTTAGCTACCCATAAGAAAACTGTCTCCATACAAACTGATAATGTGCCTCCTCCCATCTAGGAAGTAGCACTTACTCTGATCCAGCAGCCATATCTGAGTAAGATGTATCTGGTGTGGTGACTTCCAGAGGGACTGCAATGCTCATGACGTCCAACACAGCAGAGTGGAAATCACGGGGTCCAACTAATGGAGACTGACCACTCTGAGAGTGGGGGTGAGCTGCAGAGCCTCAGCCAACATGTTATGGACATGAGGAATCCTGCTGCAGAAAAGGAAAAGATCTACTAACCAAATAATTCTCTAAATGTATTCTAAATGCTGCTAAAGTATTTTTCCACTGCTTTCCAATGTTTACTGTATTCATTAGTGTTTCATAAAGTGGCTATAAGTTATGCTTACTTTAAAATTTTTTTCAACCAAATGGAAATACCCTATTTCACTAAGCATATGACACCTTCTCTACAACTGCCCATTAGACAAAATGCTCTGGCAGCCCAGGTCCTTACAAACACGTATGAAGGTACCGCACGGCTATTAGTTACTTCCTAGTTTAAATAAATTATTTAACAATTTCAGGTCTTCATTTAAAACTTTCTAGGCTTTAAATAAATGCAGTTTGTATTGGACTGGACACTGCAGTTTTTATTGCTTTTTTGTCACAGAGCCTTTTCTTCCTTTCTAAATATCATTTTATTCTAACTGTAATTTTGGGGAAATGCACTTCACTGTACTTCTAAAGTAAATATACACTGCTAGATATGAACAGAAACATAAATCGTGGAAGAGGCTATGCAAGTGTGGGTGCAAAAGGCATTTAGGAAATGTCTGTAACTTCTGTTCAATTTTACCATGAACTTAAAATTGCTCTAAAAATGTATGTGTATCTCTCTGTATATAAGGTAACAAAAAATAAACTACAAAGAGTGAGGTTTCAAGATAAAGACTGGAGAGTTTTGTATAAAAAGCAGTGATAACTTGGTAACCATGAGTGCGGTTTGGGAAGGCAAAAGACTCATATGAATTACTGAAGAGTAAAGAAGTAAAAGTAGATTAAGAGGTTTGGAGGTATGGTACAAAGGAGAAAAAGTTGTTGTTTATATGATTTTGCATTAGTGATTTTATATTCATGTAAAAAACAAAAGGATGAAACAAGAAGCATTTTATGTAGGGAAGTCAATGCTAATAAGTCAATGCTAAAAAGACCCACGTTAATACAGATCTTTGCAAAAAACACTACAAAGAGTCATGACACACATTCATGATAAAATAAATATGACAATAGAAAAGTCAAATAATACCAAAAAACCCCTAAATGTAATGAGAAGTACAGGATATTGAGTCAACCTAGTGATTTATTCTGATTTAAATAGTAACTGATTTGAGATAAGTCTGAATCCTATTTTGGAATAGGAAACAGATTCATGTGGATATTAAGATGAATTGTGAATCAGGCTAACTGTGAAGAAACTAATGGTATATTAGGCAAAGATTTTTAAGATCATATAAAGGTAATACTACTTTTGAGTTAACTAATTTAGAATGCTACAATAGTTATAAACTAAGCAGCTCTTGCTGGAGCCTCAGATTTTGAAAGAAATGGATTTCAACAAATGGATTTAGGACTCTCTAAATACAGGGATGGCAATATACTTAGTCCTACCTAACTGGAGGTAACATTGCTAGACTGGAAACTGAAATATAAACAAAGTCATTTACTATCTACTACTGCCTTCTAGTTCATAGGAGAAAGGTGATTGATTTACTTTCTACTTTTGGGCCAATCTTAAAATAAATGTTTCCAGGGGCTGGGGATTTAGTGCAGAGGTTCTGCCGCCTGCCTTGCAAGCGCAAGGTCCCAAGTTCGATCCCTGGTACCAAAAAAAAAAAAAAGTTTCCTTTATCTAGTGGTATACCCAAACAAATTTTGGGAGTACATCCTCCAAGTCTTTGGTAAATTAAAATCTGCAAGTGATGAAACAGACCACTCATCAAACAAGTATAGTTAAATATTAAGAGCTGTTGGTTATAACTTTGTTTAGTACCACTAGGCAATTCAAATTAAAAAAAAAAAAAGCTGTAAGCTGCCCTACCAGTAAAGGGAATCTGAATGTATTATATTTTCAGGGGGAAAAGAAGTCATTCAACAACATTAAAGCTCTATGTTATACCATTACTATTATTTTCCCCTTAAAAAAAATTTATAAATCAAAGCTAAGTTTTGACATTTTTTTTCCTGACAGTAATTTTTAAGATATACTAAAAGAAAATGTTACTTCAGCTAGTTTCCTGTAATAATCAGTAAATGATTTTTATATTCATTAACAAAATCCCAACTCACTGTACTGTGGACAGCTGATATAACTTATGTTAATGGAATAACTTTTAACAGATCATCTATATGCAGTATTTTCTTGTAATATTTTAGTTTTATAAACCAAGACAACAGACTCCTGTAAGCTCTGCAGTTACAGCTGTCATTAATTTCACCACATAGTTTGGAGATGTTTCTGAGAGTGGCAAGAATTAACTCTGTTTCTAGGTGAAACAATTTCAAAAAAGTTTACTTGTGACTTTTCCTGTGTATCACTACCAGAATATAAACTCTAGGGGCAGCGATTATTGTATATATTACCAACTGCTGTATTTCCAATGCCTGAAACTTTGTCCGACATATATGAAGAATTCAAGAAATATTTGCTGAGGGAATTGTGATCACCACTACAGCAACATGATTTCAGAATTCATTAAAATGCAACTAATTTAAAAAACAAATTAAAACAATGAGTCAGTTACCTTTATAAAGACCACTCAATATGAAGCCCCCCAAATTATCTGCCAGTAGCTCTGAAGACCTAGAAAAAGTTGAAGAATCAGTATTAGAAGAAATGACATTGATGAATGTACAGAATAGACTTCTATATATTAATGGTAATTTTGTTTCACTTTTATATACTGTACTCTCCTTTACCATCCTATGATGCATCCAATTCTAAATTTTTGTCATCTAATCTGCATACCCTGTTTTCTTGTTTGACCAGAAGCTAAATAAAGGTGGGGAAGGAAATTTATTTAAGAAGTGGTAAACATTTATTATGTCATTGACAAATCCTCTTTCCTTTCAATTAGAATACCCTTCCATTTACCAAGCCCCACTCTTCTTCCCTTCTCCACTAAACTATTCCCAAATCAGAAGTTTATCTTTAATCAAATATCAAATTTACCCTTCAGCTAGATAAGGAGTTACACAAGACATTTTCTTTTCTTTTTTGGTTTTTTGAGACAAGGTTTCACTGTTTAGTTCAGGCTGGCCTTGGACTCACTATGTCTTCCAAGCTGGCCTCGAACTCATGAGGATCCTCCTGCCTCAGCCTCCCAAGTGCTGGGATTTCAGGCGTGTGCCACCACACCCGGGCCAACACATTTTCAATTAGAAGGTTATACTACTTTCTTCCCCCTCATTCCATCTGATCTACCCTATAGAAAAGAACAAACAAGTCATTTCTTATTTGTGGTCAACTCCATAATGGAAATGTGCTGAAAAATGAAGCTTTAATTAATTTTGTACATTCCAGAAAGGAAATTAGTTTCTTGAAGATGATCAGTACTCCTTAAATTTTCAGTGTTTCCTCCTGAAAGTTAAATTTAACATTAGCCAGAATGAATTAACAATGGAAATGTCAGTAATAAATCATAAACATGAAAAGAGCAGTTCAAGAGACTCCAGTTACCATGTATTAGACAGCTTTATGAATTTGTAATTTTTAAAAAACTGGAAAATAAACTATTATTTGCAGAAAAATTTAAAAGAGCACACCCAGAATTATAAAAATAAAAGGTATGAAGGTAAGAGTGTAAGAAAACAATAAATAAAACGAAGGAAGAAGACTATTATAAGCAACAGTGAGAAAATAAAAAGGACAGGAAAAAAAAAAGTACTGAAGGGGGGAAAAGAATACTCCAGAACCTCAATTTCTTTCAGTTAATAACCCCTCAGAAGCCACAGGAACACTAGTAAGTTCTTGGATTCAAGCATCTTGTCCTCCAGTACTAAGTAGTCACCACTGATACTGTTTCTAGAAAAAAGAATGTTAAATAGAACATGCCTGCAATGGTTTATAATTACTCTGTCTTTTTAACTGGGTTCAGAAATAGCCAGTAATCTCTATATCATCATTCTGACAATGTCTTGTTTATATGACTTGCTGACAGCCCAAGACTCATACTTTCTGTTGGATCACTCTCAGAGAAGACAAACAAAAGTGTAAGACCAATTCAAATAGAGATCTTGGAAGAAGAAATTGCATCAGACAGGTGAGCCGGAAGCAGCTGGGAGACAAGAATCCAATAAACAGCCAATCCAATGAAAGGAATTCAGAACAAGTCTGCCTCAGTAATCCTGTGAAGAGGACTGGCAGGAAGAGGAGTGCTGCTTCAGGAAGAGAACAGGCCTCATATGCTTCAGATAGTCTTTGTGCTGAGGCTGTGGACCTTGGCCATTCTCCCAGAAATGATGCAATCTTGATGCACAAGGATCTGCTGCCAGAGAAACAACTGTTGCTTGCTGCCTATGAAGACAGCAGGCAGCTCAGCCAAGGAGCTATCTCTGATCAACTCTCCCCCATAAACCACCAGAGTGCCAAATCTCTTCCTCAATTTCAGTCTATGACAAAATGTAAGTAGGAAAAAAAAATATATGGCACCATTTTCTCAAAATGTCCTTTTCTTTTTAATTCCTTTGGGTCCACAGTATCTTTATCTTTTTTAAGGGGAGAGTTGGGACTAGGTTTCACTGTGTAGTCCATGCTTGCCTTGATCCCCCTTGCCTCAGCCTCCTGAGTGGGGTGTGCACAACACCCAGCTTTATCACTAGACTTTAAACACTGAGAACATTTTTACTTTTATAAATAGAACTCTAACCATTTAACAGTAAGATCTTAACACTGCAACAAAACGTTTGGGAGGTGGTGGCTTTTCTAAAGTATGAAAATCATCCTTAAATCTAGTACCCAATTATGAGATTTCACAGTAAAGACAAATATGCACAAATATTCAGAACTGGAGAGGTATATATTTTTGAAATTATAGGGAACTGAGTATGATAAATACTGGCATATATTAGAGAAAAAGGAAATCCTATTTCTCCTAAGGCTGGACTAAAAAGATTGAGCAACATGATTTCATGATGTTATTTACAATGCCCACTTTTCTGAGGGGCAATAATATTACAATACTTCAGGTTTTAGAGTCAATGATTTTTTATCTTGTTAACCACAACTTACTCAGACTCCAACTCAAAACCCTCAATTAAAAATCCTCCCGACAGGGCCTGGGATGTAGCTCAGTGGCACTGCACCTGCCTCGCAAGCACAAGGTCATGAGTTTGATCTCCAGTACCAAAAGAAAAAAAAAAATCCTCCCTAGAACTCCCAATTTCTAGGCTGTTTTCCAGTGTTTTCAGTGTTGTTATAAAATCATCGGGAATTTCTTCTCTTTTTAAAAGACCCAGTACAAAGCAAATCCAACAGCCTTTAAACACAATCATCTAAGATACACCCTGAAATCAATAAATTCAGCCCAATGTACTATCCCTATATTTATACAACTAAATAATGAAAATTAACAGATATAAAATAGATCTGAAGCACTAAAAGACCAATAATTTTATCTATTAATTGACCAATAAAGGGCCAGGGATTTAGCTCAGTGGTTTCACCACCTGCTGCGCAAGCGCAAGGATCCGAGTTCGATCACCGGTACAAAAAACAAAAACAAAAAACAACAACAAAAAAAACAAATATGGCAGGAGCCAGGGATTTAGCTCAGTGGTTTTGCCACCTGCTGCGCAAGCACAAGGACCCGAGTTCAATCCCCAGTACCACAAAAAAACCCAAAACAAAACAACAAAGCCATGGTTAATTGACCAATAAATAATAATTTAACTCAGTTAAGACAAAAAGCATTTCATAAAAAATTTCAGTAAGGGTTAAAAATAAAGTAGCCATATATATGGGGATTATACACAGGGCCTTCACACTGAGCTACATCTGTAGCACTTTTTTGTTTTGAGACAGTGTCTCCATCTCCCTAAGTCTCTAGGCCAAACTTCAGATCCTCCTGCCTCAGCCTGCCTGAGTGATGGGATGACAGGGGTGTGCCACCAGGATCAGCTTTCAAGATTCAATTTCTGAACTTGATTATTCAAAAATTTGTTGTACATGTAAGTTGAAATTAAAAAAAAAAAAACCTTCTACACCTCAATTTCTCCTTTGAATGACTTTACAAAATAATAAAAAGGGAGAATGGGGAAGGAATATTAGAACTGTTTTCCTTTGGGGGGGGGTGTACCAGGAATTGAACTCAGGGCCTTGCACTTGCCAGGCAGGTGCTGTACAGCTGAGCTACATTCCCAGCCCAGAACCGTGTTTTCTTAAATTACTTTTTACTCTCAACTTAATTTTTAAATCACATTTCAAAATGCAAGAAACATATGATTGCACTTTACCAACATGACCAACTTTTTGAGAACTATTGTGGCAGGTCTATTATATGCTTATCTTCTATCTCCAAACACTATAGTTGTACCAAAACATATAGCTTTTTGCCTTGGGAGAGGTACATTATGAAAATGGTGTATACCAGGAATGCAAAAACTTGAACAGTAGCCTACAAGGTAATTAGTTTGGTGACCTCTGAAAAATCTCTTTACAAAGATGATACGTAATTTCCTCAAAGTAAAATTTTCCACGTACTTTTTTCCTGCTTCAAATTTCTATGAATCCTGGGCACTGGTGTCAACTGGCCTAGCAAATTTATATGATATCTCAAGTCTCAATTTTCTCATCTGTATGATAGAAAGAGTAACTGCCCTGCTGACTCTTAAGGACAAGCTTTTGTAGCAAGTAAGAGTTGAAGTATATGTGAAGAAAGAGAACTTCTAATAACCCGAATACAGTAAGAATTATTTCTGCGCGTCTCCAACAGTTCATATCCCAATTTTGATAAAGCAGATAATGAGGGAAACATGAAAAAGTGATAAATATTAGAAGAAAAAAATAGGAATTATTGGAAAATAAGATGAACTCTAAAAAAAAAAAAGTGTGTGCAGAGAGCCAGTGAAAAGTTCTTGTTGCTGGGGATTGTGGAAATTAGGATTACAATCTGAAGTGAACGCAGGTAAAAGAGCTAAAAGTTTAAGGCTGAAGAAAGAAAAGAGACCCTGATTAGGGTAAACATTAAGGGACTGAAGAAACATCATGATTTAGTAATTTCTGGCCAAGATAAACTTATCCTTGCTCCCACCTCTGCAACAACATTTTATCCTTTAGATCTTTTGCCTAAATTTGTATCTGCTATAGGGGCTATTAGGCTTGGCAAAAAAACCAAGAAAGAGCTCAATTTACTAAGAGAGAATTAAAAGTCCAGTTTTAAAAAATTCTAGTCTCTAGTAAGAATTTCTTTCCCCATGAAAAATTTCATTTATATTGAATATTAGAGGCAAGTCATAATGGGTACATGGAGAGGCACAAGGGGTGGGAAGTGGTAAAACTATGTACTCTAAGTAGGTTAAAACTACATACTATAAGTAACAGAACTAAACACTATGATCTTAATTGTTTTGACAACGAAGAAAAACAAATAATGTATTTACAACCCCGGCCCCAAGAGTAATAAACAGAGAGCAAGAGGGGACTGCAAGGCAGCCCAGACTACATAGCAAGACCATGTCTCAAAACACCAACAAACCAAACAACCAATCAAAAACACCCCAAACCAAAGCCTGCTAAACTAAGCAAAAATGTTCAGATTCTTTGTATTGTAGGCTTCATAAAAACCAGGAAAATGTTTAGGATCT